TTTTTCAAATTGTATAAAATTTATCCTATTTTTTAGATGAAAAATATCATTTTTTTTGTACGACCCCCAATATAAGTCAATTCTATTAATTTATACTTATTTTTCTTCTATTTTTATGTTAAAATATAAATATTATGTGATTAGTGTTCAATTTTTTGTATTATACAGTGTTTTCGATCATAAATTATTGTTAGTATAAATATGTTTTTCAATAGTTTGATAATTTCCATTTTTTGCAGGTACTGAGGGAGAGAGAACAGAAAAGAGAAAAAGCAAAAAGTAGAAGAGAAGGGAAAGATGTTGACGTGTATAACGTGCTCTAAGCAGAGAATGGAGGAGAGAGGAGACGAGGAAGGCCCGCGTGAGACTCCCAGGACAAAAGAAGCCGTCAAAAGCCTGACGGCACAGGTTCTAATCCTATGCCTATTATCCCTTCTTCCTATTTATTTGCTTTTTTCACAACTTTTCTTTTCCCTTCTTCCTGAAATCAAACAAATATAGTAAGCTCCCGTAGTGGTGTGCACCTGCCATTAGTCGGGTTTTCGTATCCATACAAGGTGTGTTTGCTATTAGCAAAGAGCAATTGAAAAAAAATAACGTCAGGGCCCATCTTATTCCTTTTATATTTATGTTTAGATATATATTTTGTGTCCAATATTATCATTTAAAAACAATAACAGCTCAGTATAGATAATATTTTGTACAATCTTCTAAATAAACTCATTTTTTTGGTGGGTTTAAATAATCCAATTGGATGTATTTGACCAAAAGACATTTTTATCCTCAAGTATCTTTAGGATATAAATATCATTTTTTATCTTGAGAGTTCTTTAATAATTTAATGTTTATACTATTATTGAATTCTCAATTCAAACAAAGTATTGGATTTGATTAATATAGGGCTCATTACTTCTTAATACTTGAACCAAAAATAGGATGAAGAGAAATTATCACTATGATTAATACAAGGGCTAAATTGATGGATAAGGGATGAATGATATTATTTAATCCGGTCTTTCCAATGCTTAAATCAAACACACCCACAATGTAGATGTGCACTACTCCATCTGTTTGTAGTACGGTGAACTCATGCAAAACATGTTTTTTTTTTTAGTGTGGTTAAACCGTGAGTGATTAAAATATAAATGGGTGATTCAACTATTTATTATAATTAAAAGTTCAAATATAAATAGAAAGAATTTGTGACTAAAATATAAGTAATAAGCTAAGTCGTTAGATGTAGAGGTTCTGGATTATTGTTGGACTTTTTAAAATTGGGAGCTTAATGAATTTTAAGTAGGAGGCTTTGTTTTATTTATGTTCGTATGTATGCTTGTAATTTCTTTAGATCTAACTTGTTTATGGCATGGCCGGCCCAAGAATACTTGAGGCCCTAAACAAAAATTTAGATGAGTCCTAAATTATTTTTAGATGAATAATTTGTTTACTTTTGTTTTTGATTTTAAATATTTAAATTCATATCTTTTATGGTATGTATATTTGAGGTTGAAAATAGCTTGCAAGATAAACATACTTATGTGAATGATAATCATCGGACGGTTACACAAATGGGCCTAGGCGAGTGGAGCCTCTAGGCGACTGCATCACTTGCCTAGGAGTGGAGCCAGGCCTAGTTTATGGTGCAGTCTACCTAGGTAGAAATTAAAGATAATCCAAACACTTTGACCAAAAGCATGCATGTAATTTCAAAGTAGTGAAAACCCGGAGATGGATGACTTACTATGCCAAATTTATATCACAATTTCGACTTTATTAGAGGTAGATTCACAAATTTTTATCTTTATAAACTGTTTAGGGATTAAAATATTTTTACAATGTCGCAAGAATCAGTTCAATGAAATATCAAGGTAAATAATTATATCATAAATACAATTTTTTTATTTTGAAGTGGATGACTTACTACACCATACTTGCATACTGAAAAAACTATGAGGATTCAACCATAGAAATTATGTATGTGTGTTTGTTAATCAACTTTATGCTCCAGTGAAGGACCAAAGGTACGAGTCTGCAGCTCGTAAAGCTTCTCGACTGTGGTGCGTTAGAGCAACGATGTTCTTTGGTCCCGTACAGGACCAGAGGTGTCCGAGTAGGAGTCCGAATCTTTTAAGGCTTTTCGTGGGATCATGGTAGGCATAACAGTGACTCAATTGACTGGGGCATCGTTCACGCTAGGTCGGGGACCACTGTATTAAAATCTTGGTCCCAACATATGTGCATAGATCGCTTTCTGTCTTCAGTTTTCCTATGTAAATACGGAGGGGTAATATTGGGTGACCGAAAAATAAAATAAAAAATATAGATCAAATAATTTAGTGGTGATATTTTTAGTTCTATTTTTATTTATTTAAAACTTATATTTTTGGTCCTATTTTTGTTTATTCAAAATTTAAATTTTATTTATTATGTTAGATCATATTATTTGGTCTTGGTTTATTGGCATTATGGACAATAAATAGATTGGACCTAATTTAAATACAATCCGGTTGTTAATTTGTGAGGCTTAGGTGTGTATGGATTTTTTTGACTAATTATCATATTTAAACTTGAATTTGAATATTTTACATTACATTTTATAGATTTACTTTTAGTTTTCGTAATATCTGATTAAATTCTTAACTCTTTGACTTCTTAATATCTTATTCAATTTTTATAAAACTTGAGATTTATATTAATATATAATAACATTTAGGGATTATTTGACTAAGTTGAATAAGAAGTAGGATGCAAATCATTAAAATTCACTTATAATGAGTTATTTGTATTAGTTCAACTCATCCAAAAAATGTTACTTTCAACTTTTGGTAAAATTCAATTTAATTTGTCAACGTATTATGGTAACATTTTTCAAGTTGGCCACATGAACTTTATTTTGTAATTCAGCTCTATTAAGGATCATAATTTTCTATTAAGGATCATATTTTTCGGTAAATCATAATTTATCATATCATTTGACACTTTCATTTAAAGTTAATTTTGTTCTTATTTTATTTTTTGCGATTATCATCAATAGCTGTTACATCACTTTTTTCATTGGAGCAGTGGTAAACTTTCATTATGTACAAACCACCTAAATTCATTTTTTCTTAATTTACCAATCATTCATTGTAGCATTCCCATTTTTGTCATCCTGAAATTTTGAACGTATTATAAATATTTTTAACATATTATTAAGTTTTCAAATTAAATCTCTAAATTAGGTCTAAATAAAAATTTGGGCTAAATATCTTCCAGTGACTGCAACTTGGTAAGTACATATCAACCCTGTTCTTTACCAAGACACTTAATAAAGGTAGTTCGTTCAAATTCCACCCAGAATTTCCAATTTCATGACAGATTAGGGCGGTAGGGACAATATGCTATGCCCTAGTGAAGACCACGAGAAGAGAGAAGACGCATTTTTAAAGCACAGTTCAAGTGTCCTTCAGGTGACCCACCATTGAAATCTTGTCTAGTCACTGTTTTGCCACTGCTAAAAGAAAAGGAAATGCTAGCATTTCAGCGGCCAGTAAAATATTTTTTTTGACAAGAAACAGAATTTTAGTATTAGTTAGCATAAAGTATTACCTTACTGGAGTACAGGTGGACAAGTTGTCTGATCCAATAACAATCAAGACAAAAACCAGTGCATAGCACTAGATAACCCTTATGACCGCATTATATTCTGCATTATGTTGTTCAACTTGCTGTGGTATAAAAGTGAGGAACATTCTCAAAATCCTTAGTAATCATCGTGTATAATTGTATATTTCTTTGGTAGCTGCCAATGCTATATAGGCAATAATAGTGCACTTTTAAAATTGTTTCACAGCCCAGAAAGAGCATAAGCTGATTGCTGCCAAGTCCATGAAGTTAATATTACTAACTCAAGGAAAAAAGAACTGGGTATTGCTATGAAAAGCATGAACTGTTGTTCTAACTGCCTTAGTTTATACTGTTGAGACTCCATTTTAAAGATGTATTGCATGTATGCTTTGTCCAAAAACCTAACTTTAAACAATGATTCAAACGTTGATTGATACTCTGATCCGTTCACCATAATGTGAATGTGTTTGAGCTTGGTGTGGGCTAGAGGAGATGGGTTTGAGTCTTGTTACGACTCTTTAGCTTCCACTGACTCCCAGCTTTTGGCATATAATGTGCTCCAGCTAGACTAGTTAATGCTTTCATATAGGCAATAAGAAGCTTAATAATACATCATTTCCCATAGCAGGTATCCCGTGTGATTTTATTTTTAAATTTTATTGTGAAATGTAAACTATTGGATTAATATTTTGATGTCAACAGATCCATATTCCATTCAATTTCTCTTGATTGTTTACAAAGCATATGGGCACCATGAACTATGTTATAGTAAAATAGTTACACCCCTTTCACACACACATGCACACATAGACGCAACCAAATATACGTATGTTCTCATTCTTTCTGGTATGAAAGAAGCCTGTCCCATTGGTTGTGTTTGTTTTGTATTCTTCAACTAGATTATGTATATAACGTTTGGAGAAGTGGAGCATAAGGTTTGCATTGTTTCTTGAATACATGCTGGTCTGAAAAGTTCTTAGGTTGTGCCTTGGGCTTGTCATGCCACTTGCCTAGTGCATTTATACCTATTCATTTAGGTTATTTTTGTTCTTAAGAAAACAATCTAGATTGCGCCTTGATCTTGTTTTCATATCTAAAGGTTAGTTTTTTAATCCAATCTTTCATCAGCATTCACTGGAGGGATCACATATACAATTATACTCCATATTGTATGCCAAAACTAGTAATAAAAATGGACGTGAATACTCTTGAAACTCCGAATTGGTTGAAATTGTATTCTGTGATTTTAAAGCCGTCACATATTCCTTTGCTTTTATTTAACTGTATTGTATGATGGTTAATGTCTCCATAGATCTTCAAGCTAGGTGTACATAAAAGATATTTTAGTTAATTAAAAAGCTGAAAATACCTCAGTGCATGTTATCCTAACGTCTATGGTTGATTATCTGCAGATTAAGGATATAGCATTAAAATTCTCAGGTGCTTATAAGCAATGCAAGCCCTGTACGAGCCCCAGCGCCTACAAGAAAGGACAGCGACCTTATCCTGACTTCGATACTATTTCAGAAGGGGTTCCTTACCCTTACTTTCAGCCAGGAAGCTCCGGTTCTACTCCTGCTTGGAATTTTTCAAGCACTGGCAACCACCCAACTGATTCAAGGTTTACAGGAGCATTTGGGGGTGATTGGACCCCTGGTGGAAAACAATCTATCTCAGCTCAGTCTGGTGAACTGGTGGTAGAAGATGAGGATGAACCCAAAGAATGGATGGCGCAAGTGGAACCTGGCGTGCAAGTCACTTTTGTATCTCTTCCTCATGGTGGAAATGATCTAAAACGAATTCGCTTCAGGTACACATTAAGGACATTCATCAAGTATTCCTAGCCACATTATTGAGTTTCAATTCTAGGACTGACATAAAAATGAAATCAAAACACGACCTGGTTCCAAAACATTTTTCCGGTGTTGAGGCCGCATACGTGGATTGGTAGCAAAACTTTGCAGTTAGAAAATTATATTCTTCAAAACCCAGTCTTAGTACTTGCGGGAGACCCAAGCTAGCCCTAATAACTCGAGTCCTTTATGCATTTAATAGTTTTGTCAGTTTCTAACTCTTACGGTCCATTGTCCTTGTAAATTCACTCCTTTATCACAATTCACAAACACTGACAATAATTGGACATCTGAAACTGGAAGCCGAGAGATGTTTGACAAATGGCAAGCTCAGAGATGGTGGGGGGAGAATTTTGATCGAATCATGGAGCTTTACAATGTTCAGAGATTCAACCGGCAAGCTTTTCATACTCCTCCAATGTCTGAAGATGGAGTAAGTAGCCTTCCACTTGTATATTTCAACTCCTTTTCATCACTTTATTTACCTATGCAACAATCTCCATGTGGCTCCAATTCATATATGGCTGCTAAGGTTTAGGATAGTTCATTGTATTAAATACTAATTCTTTTGCCTGATAAAGTTTTTTTAACGCCCTCATGTGCGACAATAGACATTTTGAGGTCCTGTGATGCCTTCCCCCCTTGCAGTATAGCCGTAGGCATTTCCACCCAACTAATTCAACCTGGATCTTCTAATGTTGAACCAACTCAGTAAGATCTGAATATATCTAAGCTGGGGAGGATCTAATTGGTGCCCCCATAAAGATAATAATGTGTCAGTCAGGTTGCATCCTTCAGTAGATCTTTGGATTTACAATGAATCTTAGGACCGATGGATGGATAGTCCAGGGTTTGACTTGCAATTTGCAGGGAGAGGGTTTAGACGATAATTTTTTGAACTTCGGAGTTTTCCTTTCACATGGCAATGAGCATTATAATTTATAATGTATATGCACTTCTTTTCTACAATCTAGTATTTTCAACTGATAAGTGACAACACTGCGTGTAAAAAGAGGCATAGTTGAAAAGGGCACATTAGCAATAGTATCTTGTGTTTTGATGCCTTCAATTGGAAGGAATTAGCATTTTACTGTTTCACATTAGTATTTTAGGTCATTCTTGACGAACATAAAAATAAATCATCTCTAACATGGTAGACTTTCCAAGCAAAGCTCATCTTTTTCACCTCGCAAAAGCCATTATTTATTTCGTAGAATTTTATAACAGGCTAGGTGGGTGTCACTATAATAGTGCTAGATTTCGGGAAATTAATCTTACTGAGTTTTTTTGAAGTATCTTCAATCAAATAATTGTTATCTTAATGTTAAAAACAATGGACCCTTGACTAACTTGTTCAAGGTGAAGTATTCTTTCTACATTTATATATTGTCAATTACTTCTTGGCCGCAGAAAATGCCACTACATCCCGAGTTACTTATGATAATTTTTTGATCTTCTGCTGCAGAGAGATTCATCTTACTCGAGGCTTGGTTCTGCCATGGAAAGCCCTATGATGACCCCATCGATACCCAAAGAGTGGGCTCCCAGAAACTATTATAAACCTTCTGGTGGTAAAGGTCATTTCCCACCTGATTATCTAGATCAAGGTGGCAGCCAAAACTACAATGGTGGGTCAAGTGCTTATGCCACTGGCGGGGCATCATCTATGGATGCATCACGGACGACGACCTCCTCTAGAGACGAAGCTTCAATTTCCATTAGCAATGCCAGTGACATGGAGTCAGAATGGGTGGAGCAAGATGAGCCTGGGGTGTACATCACCATCAGACAGTTAGCTGATGGCACTAGGGAGCTCCGGCGAGTCAGATTCAGGTAATGAAACTGCACGGTTAATTTAGTGTGGGATTTCAGAAATTTTTATTCCTCAGAATGGGCAACAAAGCAGAAGCATAAAAAGGAAAAATATAAATTTTCATCTAGTTAAACTTCCTAATATCTTTTTAAAAAAGTTGCTATTCCCACCCTGTTTTGCATACAATTCTATTAGTGTTTTAAACCAACTCCGCACAATCCCATCACCCACCGCCACCACCACCCTCACCACTACCCAACACCCAATCTCTATACCCTACACCATCAACTCCATCCACCCAACCATCATCACCACATCATAATCCCATTTCCACTGCCTGTCTACAACCAACCCCACTTGCCATTGCAATATAAATCATATCATCACTTAACACCCCATTCAACTCCAACTTCCAACACATAACATCTAGTAATTTCCACTGCTACGATCCATGGAGACACCATTTCCAATGTCTTTTATAACAGTTTCAAACATGGAGATGCCATTGACAGGAGCTTCAATTATACAGCTGGGGTGAGATTAGAGAGAGAGGGGTGTATAAGTAATAAATAATTTTGACTGGAGTATATCCAGATATGGGGTGGGGATGGAGATTTTAGGGGTCGGATTGCCCCATCGAAAGGAATGTTGAGAACCCACATGAAAGTTTCCCTCTCTATTCATGCTCATTTCTCCATGAAGATGGATAATTCCTTGAATTCATTAATACAAGATTTCAAATTGACACGGTCATGGAGACAATTATTTGCTTTTCCTGTCCTTTTTATTGTCTCTTAATAACTATGAAGAGAATCCGTTTTGGGGCGTAAAATCTGTGTTTCAAATGCTTTTGAAACGAAAAAACGTGGCATCAAACAGCAATTGGAGTTTCAATTTTCAGCTTTCTTCCATGGATTCCCAATGTGTAACAAAGCAGTAAAAAGAAGTGGTGGTTTGTCTACTAATTCTTATGTTCTCTTAACTTGTTTGCCTGTCTTCTGCAGTCGCGAAAGGTTTGGGGAGGTGAATGCAAAGCTTTGGTGGGAAGAGAATAGGGACAGAATACAGGCTCAGTACCTTTGAACATTATATACAACCATATACATACCCATCTTTACTGATTAGATTATTGGCGTTCAAAATGGCCCCAGAGCACAACCGGATGAAGATGGAACGTTTCAATTTTGCTTCTTAACAAATGATGATAAAAAAAACTGACCATAACGTTCAATCTCAACAAAAGAACGTATTAACTAGGACGACTGCTGATGTTGAAGATCTGAAAGGCATTACATTTTGATGGTAATCTGGTGTTATTCATGATGTTTAATTCTCTCCACAACAGCTCTCCCCAAGGGTTGAATGCCATGTAATGACAGGTTACAGATTTGCCCTTTCCATCTTGTATTTAATTGTCACAACCTTGGTGCCTCTTTTTTTGTTTTTTTTTCCTCTCGTCTCTTCTGGTTTTTAGGACACTACAGGGCAATGAGACAATGAATATGTTGACAATGTACATCTTTCATGTGAGATCCATTAGCTGTGTTCAATACACGATAGGAGACTAGGGAAATTAAGAGCAACTGCACTGGAAGGGACCTTAAGTCTAAACTCAAAGACTAGTACCCTAAATTCAAGTTGAACTCCAGGTTGCTGCTTAATAAAACCCATATGAAGGCTTATAATATCAAATGCCTCGGCACGGTTATAGCCAATTGTTGCTACGTAACTCAAAAGCACACATTAATGCCAGTGTGCAAGTGAGGCATAGGAACGTGGTACCGAGAAAGAGATGGGGACTTACTAGCAGAGCAATATTTGTATGCAAATGACAATTATTATTTTCCCACAAAATGCTAAATGAAGAGCATAAAGAAAGCAATACTCAAACACAAGCCTTAAACCGTTTCTGACGTGAAGTTAAGGTATACAATAATTATTGAAAAAACCAAACATCAAACTAATCAACATAAAATAACGACACTGGTACTCAAGTCTATGGTAATTTAACTAACTCGACATGGCCAGGCACACAATAACATACAATCTTCACTACGGAGCTATAGCATTGTTATTTTAACTCATTATCACCTCTCAACAGAGCTTTTGTTCATCCAACGACTTTCCTGCTGTAAGTTCTTCCCGGCAGAATCTCTTGAGATTGTCCAAGAAACCATTCAGATTGGCCATGCCATCCTCCAGCCTTCATTGGTGGAGGTAATGACTGCCTCGCTTGCGGTTTTACAGTACCAACCTTCATGTTTGCAAACTTCTCAGCTGTATCAGAAATAGTAAGTGCCTTTCCGATGTGATTTCCAGCTGCCAACAAATATAATTATTGCATTAGTAATGAAAAAGACAGAACCCATATTTTGTCAAGGAGATGCTTATTGCCAAATATAGCTTCCATACTTTTCAAATTCTTAACCACCAAAACTACAATACCAGTCAGTTATGAGAAATGTTAAATGCTTTATTTCTTGTTATCCTTCCTAACTCTCACATGGATGTCCTATTCCTGAAAATGACTTGAAAAGGCATGCTGTTCTAAAGGGCCTCGTACTGACCAAAAAATGAGACCATCAAAAGAACCAAAGAATGTGGCACAACAATGGTGGTGGTTTTGGTTGAATAAAAATTTACTTACCATCTCAGTTGCCACATCAATTGGGCTCTATTTTTTGGTGAGTGTAGCATTACTCCTTTGGAAGATGAACCTCTCAATGTAGATACCAAGGGATCATCAATTACTAGGGGAGTTCAAATTTCCAATTATCCGAACATTCTGACCCTACCCTACTAATCCGCTACCGCAAAAAATTAGATAGAAATGCAAAATACTCATAAAAATTCCGTCTTCCTACCTGACCTTACCCGCACATGTGAAATTTTTAACATTTCAACACTATTAATATGTGAAAAAATCACAAACCAAAAACATTGTTAATGTGTTAAATTTTTAACATTATTGTGTTGGTTAATTGGTGCAGCTTACTTAATTGAATTATTAAAATGATCCAAAAATTAATAACTAAAAAATATTATGTTCACCAGATTTTTTATCTGACTTCCTACTCGATTGTTTTGGACAAAATTCGGATAGTAATAAAATATAAAAATCGGACAAGAAAAATCTCTTTTGCAAAATATAAAATATAGAGTGGAATACCATAATTCCTACCCATAGGATAGGTGAACACCCCTATCAATTACAATTAATATCACAAGTGTCGCACATCATCTTTATGCCACGTGAGGATATATTGCTATACTATTCGGTCATTATCTTCATTAATGGTGTTATTAGATAAACCTCCCATTCACAAGTTCCCATCATGAATGAAAAATCTTGTATCTTATGGAAACCAATTTTGACCTTGTCGATGAGACAGTGAGCAAACAAAAACTAAAGCAGCAAGTTCTTATCTATGAGGAGATTAGAAGGGAAGCTCAGGACAATGTTGAAATGCATACAAAACAATCCACCATTCCAGAAAAAGTTACAACTCAAATGATAATTCAGGAGCAGGAACGCGTAGTAAAGTCAGCATGCTATTATGTTAGCAGCAATGAATGGACTACATGCAGTTAAGGGAAGTGTAATGCATGCCAGCTGATGTAAACTGTAGTGTCAGGACAAAAAGAGCTAGTTTTAATGCCCAGATGAGAGTAAGGAAAGATAAGAGATTGTAAACAAACTTACTAGGCCAGTTCCGCGCAGGTGGCCGGTATCTCGGTTGTTGCTTCACAGAGCTCTTCATGGATTTATCATTATTAGTTGCGTCCTAAGACCACAAACCAAAACAGATTGGACGATAAAAATTAGAAACGTTGTAAAAACACATTGATAGAGTCCATCACAATTCACAGTCAACAGTAGTACTGGTCATATAAAATGCAACTTACTGGACAATTCATTTCCAACTTCCGTTGCACACCTGCAATTATCGTATAATTAGATGAAAATCCAAGCATAAAGTTGCACTTCACTTTATAGCAAACTTGTGCCAACAAATAGTTTGAACTGGTTTCTAAATCTTAATTGCAACAGGAAAATTCCGCATTCTCATAAATAGTACTCCTTACCGATAATCAGGACCTCAACTGTCTATACCCAATATTATGTTTTTTGTTGCTTCCACTCTTTTCTGATAACTAACAATGCTGACATTCGACAAATATGAACAGATTTCCAAGGTGACATCCCATTATTTTAAGCAGTCAATTGTAATGCTGCTTCTAATTGCACCCGAAAGGGATACTTTTATTTCATATCATCAATGAAAGTAAATACTGCATTGCCTCATGCACACATTCTTTTATTTCATTTCATCAATAAAAGTAAAAACTGCATTGCCTCGTGCACACAGGAATTTTCTTCACTGCAAGACGCGAAAATATCTATTGAAACCATAGCAATAAAGGGTGATGTCTCTTTTAAATTAAGAGTGTAGTTTACCATCATCACCGGGCCACACAATCACTAAGTCAAAGATTTCATTACCTCTTCCAATAATCAAAAATCCAATACACAGAATAAAAAATTGACAACTGGAACACAACAATAGCAACAATAAAATCAACACTAATATTATGGAAAGCTATCACTAATACTTTACCCGAGCTTAAAGACGCATATGATTTGACAGAAGGTAAGTTGTTTCTGGGCTTCGGGTTAGATAAAGACCCAGAATAACTCCTAGCACTTTTCTGCTCCAAAGCTCCCCTACTTCCAGCTGTAACAACACGTCATCTAAGATTGCTACAGCCAATCTTTTGTTGTCAAACAGAAGTGAAATTGAGGTTAAGAGACAAACCAGATGGAGGTGTTCCGGCCACAGCAGCTCTAGAACGAAGAGATGGTGGAACATAAAAGCAACTCTGTCACACCAAACAATTCTACTATTACAAACTAATTAACTTTTAGAGCTAAAAAAATATGACCTATATAAAAAGGAAGAATTTGCAACCTGGAAGAAAGGATGCTGAAGGGCCTCCAAGGCTGTTGGTCTCTTGCAAGGATCCCATGAACATAGGGTCTACATTTTTGGGAAAAGATGCAACAATTGGAAAGATAAATAAGTTCACTGATAAATTAGACAATCAGCACCTCACTTTTTTAAAAAATAATAATAATAAGAATCTCTGAAATCAATATTATTTCCACTTCTACAAACCCTTACCAACACAATAATAATGATTTAGACATATATTTTTTTTATAAAAAAAAAAAGGAGAAAGAAGAGTGTAATAAGACTAATTGCACAGAAACTTAAGACTGATACTTACTGTAATAAGACTAATTGCATCAGCACTTGCAGATGGTATTAGTGCAGAAAGATGGACACCAGCAAGCTGTAATGCCACATTACATGCAGCATTAAAAATTAAAAGAAAATTCCAAGCAGTACAACGAGAATAAGTCAAATGGAAAATAAATATATAGAAGACCAGGAAAAAAAAAATCAAAGCACATTTTGCCAGAGTGACATAGGTCATGCTTGTTTATTCTCATTCTGGGCAACTTATAGCTCTTCTTTAACAAGTCATATTGACATGTTTGTTGGAGCTTACATTTACTTAAGCTACAAAAACATCTTAAATAAGCTGAAAAACTGTTTTTTTAAGCCGCAACAATGTTGCCTTGAGTATTAATGCGTAAGCCCGACTTATATTCAGCACTTATCATAAATAAGTACAGCGCCCAAGATCAAGGAACAACCAATTTTACAAAATACTAACACAAATGTCACACAGAAATTCCTTTTTTTTTTCTCTCTCAAAGCATACAACTTTAAACAGCAAACATTAATGACAGAGAATCAGCTTGAACCCTAGCATGCTTGTATGGTTATGTAGGCTAACCCACCAGTGTTACTTGCCAAACTCTCACTTTATTGTAGTCTCCCAGTACACTTCTTTAAAACCCAAAAAAACTATAAATATTCCTTGCAAATATTGACTCACAGGTAGATGTATTCGAACAAGATAAACTCACCTGCGGAAACTGGTAGTTGATAGCACCAGAAAGTTTTAGACCATATGCCCATACACACTCTGTTGGGCTGCCTATCACACTGCATATTTTATAGATCTCATCTGCTTCACTGTAGGCATGATTAAAAACAGTCATAAATCTGTAACTATGGCATTCATAAGGAAATAATAAGCAGAACTACATACAATAGTCAAGTCCAATCAAACTTGATCACATCACCCACACAAAACAAAAAAAAAAAAGTAAAGCACACCATGGTTTAGACTCTCCAAAATTATGGCAAAACACCGCGACCCCCTCCTCCAAAAGGAAGAAAACCAGGAGAGGCAGATTTTTGTTTTTTTGGGGTGGTTTGAGAAAAAAGGAGGAAGGGAAGTGAGGGAAGGGGGGGGGGGGGCACAATGCAGTCATGTATTACAAAGTAAAGTTTCAGAAGTGTTGGTTGGTTAAAACATACGACATTTCTTGCTCCTTTGGCTTCAAGGAACTCAAGGAATAGGGTCTTGTACTAAAGCAAATTGGCATAAGGGAATAAACGACATACTGAATTCAACATCCCAAATCATATCTACAGACTTTTTCACCTTCTGAATTTAATATCCCCTTGCAATATTATGATTAATGAGAATCCAATACCAAATAAGATGTCATATATACCTTGAACCAGGAAAAAGAGGACTCAGGGTAAGCAATTCAGCCATAATAGCACCCATTGCCCACATATCTGCAAACAAGAAAGAGAACAAATTATAATTGCAGAAGTGATGGTTTAATACATTTAGGAAAGACAATAGCAGCTTCTGTCTGCCTTTTACTCACCAACTGCAGAACCATATGTTGGTGACTGGAGCAAAACCTCTGGGGCCCGATACCTGGCAGGTCCAAATTACACCGTCACTAACACAGACTAACAAGTAGGACTAAGGTCCACAGGAAAGATATATCCGTGTTTACACAATTTACGAAGGAAACAATCACCCACCATCGTGTTGAAACATACTCCGTATACGGGGGTCGAGAACTGATCTCACGAGCAAGACCAAAATCAGCAATTTTTATAATGTGTTTTGAAACTAGCAAGTTCTCTGTAAAAATGTGAATTTAAAAATACCAAAACATGAACAAAGGTCAGCATTTGATCGTACAAGAGGCATTAGTTAACTGATTAACAAATGAAGTAGCAACTTCAAACGAAAAAACTCTGAAGGGCATTAGAGACTTTCTATGTAACATTTTCAAATTTTTACAAAATAAGAATCATAATTTTGAGGAATATTAGAATTTTAATGTGATCGATATGATTTATATTTTGGAGATTTCAGATACATAAATGAATCCCTTGTGTAAAGATAAGTCTGATGATAGTAATATTGGATGTTTTATATTAGGAAATAATAAGTGATGCTAAATACATATAGTAATCAAGAAGGTGCAACAAGTGTAAATTTTTATGTGTCGTAGGACAGGTGTCCAAAGTAGTGTGTGTGAATATGGAGGTGACACGTGACAAGCACAACAAAATAGTGAATGAATCTAGTGGTGACACATTGCAAGCACGGGTGCCTGTGTGACAAGTGGTTGGAAGAAAGGGAAGAGAGAATGAGGGAACCAAGAAAAAAAGAGCGAAATAGAGGAAGAGAGATAAACTGAGAGGAAGAAGAAGAAAGTAGGAAAGAGGAGAGAGAAAGAGAAAGAGAAATTCATAAAAAATCAATGGTGAAATGAACTCCAGTCGAGCTGTTCTTGAGGTTATGGCGACAACATCTATCATTGTCAATTAAAGATTAAGGTATGTGGTAGTATACAATATTCTTTTGTCTTTTAATCTCTTTGGAAAGAATGTCCTGTTAATTATCTCAAAATTCGCATCACTATTAGCTATTTTGATCGATATGAAATTCAGTAAACTTTGCTTAGATGAATTGGGCTAATAATTTGAGATTGATTGGTACATATACGAAGTGCGCCTGGGGCATAAGTTGGTGATGTGAAATGTGATCGTGACCCTATGGTGTGTTTTGGGCTATTACTTGTCCTGTTACCAAGAAGAACCGAGAATGAGGCTATGTATGTCAAATACTTGAATCATGTGACATGTCGTATTTGATTAATAATTCCACAATTGTCTATCCACTGAATTATTTGGTATTCAATCATAAGTATTGTATATTTTCTCGCTTCATTAAATTTTCAAGTTGATATTGGAGCAAAGATCGTGATCGATATATTCAAGGAACTATAGATTGATATAAAATTTTGAAATATGTAAATTAGGAGATGTATTTGTATTTGAAAATTCAATTATCAATTAGAATTTTTATTGAAGTAATTAGAGCTCAAGCGATTTGGAGAGATTTTGTGGAATCTGTGATTTGATCTACCAATTAACGCATCCGGAAAATCAGGTGTTACATTCTATATGCAGCACATTTAGAAGATATTTAAGGTGAAGGAGTGACAGAAAGGAAAGATGGCTTCCCCTCCCCACCCCACGCATGTGAGCCAATACAAAAATATATGTATATATTTAGAAGCTATGCAAAAAACCACTCATTGAACATTAAATTCCTGTTCCAGCAATATGATTATAGCATGTATCACAAAATAATGTACCACTGATAAGATACCACACTGGCAATTAACATGAACTTTGAAGCATATGGTAAAAAGAAAGTTATTCAATGCGAGCTTTATGCCAGATGTCAGGATCATACAATACCTAGCAACTCACATAGCAGAGTAGTTTTCACCACGACAGGAAGAAGAATTCACAAAAATTAGAAATAAAAGCAAAATAAGAAAAAACAAGTCAAGCCAATGCACAAGAAATTGTCCAACATGGTAAGACAATGTGGCTCAACCCTCGTCTACAATTTCTTGGTTAAGCATAATTACATCCCACTCTTTCATTTAACCAAAATTCCGTGACACAGTGGAATCACATGTCATATACCAAATAAAATTATAATATATAAAACGGGCATATAAGCATGCTGGAACATTCAAAAGCAGAACACTCAGGCACAATTTGACGTGAGTCTCAATCAAAATCATTGATCATTATACCAACAATCACCTGGCTTAAGGTCACGATGGAAATATCCACGTTGATGCATGTATGCAAGACCTTGAAATACTTGAAAACACCAATTTCTTACTTCAGATTCCGAGAAAAGTTTTGCTCTGTCTTTCATAAGCTGGTATAGGTTGCATTCCTGGAAAAAGCAAAAACAATACAACCGCATTATTAAATGCGCAACTCAAGGATAACAGGCACACAACCCGGATGGGAGGACACCACGCACCATGTATTCAAACACAAAGTACAAGATGTCATTTTCCCTGATTACTTCCTTGAGCTTCACAATATTTGGATGATTCATTTTCCTCAATGACTGCCAAGAAAACAAATTTAATTATAGTAATACAGAAAAGGTGTAAAAAGCAAGGAGAAAATGAAGTAAATTATGCCACCTTGACTTCTCTCAAATTTATGCATTCTTCCCAAGAATAATATTTTTTCTTCATCTTTTTAATTGCAACCTGTTTACAAAAACAATTAATTTTAAGAAAGAGCACTCAATTGTACTTCTGACAGAAGCATCTTCTGTTAAGCAAAGGGAAGATTTTCATTTTTACAATTTAAATTCAACCATACACTTACCACTTCACCATTCTGCTTATTTAATGCTCGCCACACAGTCCCAAATGTTCCATTACCAACTTCCTTGATTATCTTGTACCTGCCCCAGCCACATTAAACATCACTAATCAACTTAAATTCAGATTACTGATATACATATAAAGAAAAATGCACAAAAATCCAACGCACCTTTCCATTCTTGCAATTCAACAGCGTGTCACCTTTGTTATTGAGTAAAGAATGCGGACACAAAAGACGATAGGATGCTTATATTTGTAGATGACTCTAAAATAACACTATAAAATACCCACTAACAGCCTGGCTGATCCAGATAAATCCACCCTTTAATCTTCTGTTGCACCATGCATAAACACAAAACCAGTATGCTTCTGACGGATGGGCTTCACAGCCTTATTCAAGTAATATGTCATATCCATGGCTTCGGAAAAACAACAAGGCATAGAATGCAAAAATACTCGAGAACAGCATAACATTTTTACACCAATCCAGAACTGAATATCACAGAATCCAATACTAGCCACAAGATGGATTCTTAGCTCAAGACATAGTCAACCAAAAACTATCAAAAGCTTGATCTCGGCTATCTCAACTGTGCTATGTGACTCTGATGCCAAATCCTGAGTCAAGTAAATCTTGACTCTTAACAGGCACCCATCAGCCGGAAAGACAAAGTATTGCTTAGAACTACCAACTCCGCAAACCAGTGCAACAGGAACATCTAAAACTTAATATGCGAATTTTACTCGGATACTTGCAGACTTCAGCCCTGTCATCAGAAAGATAAGAAGATACACCAGACAGAATTACATTTCATGGATAGCAGAAGATGAATAATGAATATGTAAAGAATAAGAGGAGCAGTACCCCAGAAGATGGTTTCCAAAGGATTTCAAATGGATGTTGTATTGGAAATGCACTAGAATCAACAAGATCATTAGAGATGGCAAACAGTGTAATCAAGATCAGAAACCATGTACTGCTTCAGAAATACTGAAGGTACAGCTTACTTGTAAGCGTGCACTAAAGATCCAACACCTATCTCAGAAAAAATTTGCATTAGGCCTCCTGTACTGATCATTTAACAGAAGCTTTTTACTAGGTGCAGTTGACAAAAGAAACAAGGAGGAAATCTCCAAGGATGAGAAATCGCCAAACAAGCACATCCTGAAATGGAAAAACCCGATGCTGGTAGCAATCTGACCAGAGGCACACTTGCTCCATGTCCTAAATGAAATTAAGTTCTTTAAATCGAAGTATGACACAACCTGCTAACACAAATGAGATATTTAGAAGAGGTATTCATATAGTTCTAAGGTATCATAAGCACAGCAATGACTCGAAATTATGCAACTTTCTAGATGTATCACAGCCTGACATAGCATGTTCAATTATCACATAAATCACGTCACAATCATGAAAAACAACGATGAAAATTTAAGAATGTAAATTCAAACTAGAACAATCATGGCAAGTTACTGAACAATATCGAAAGTTTCCATCTCAATATTGTGAACAGAGATATTAAAATCCTTAACCTTACATATTTTTTATAACTAGCTAGGCCCTAGGTTATTAAATTAGAGTACATTAGCCATGCAGTTGGCTTTCAATAAAAAGAGCAAAACTGACTATAGACAACAATATATCATTGTGATAACCTGAGGTGAACAATATACTTCCAAGAATAATCAAGCAAATCTCAACCAGAACATAAATTATTGTCAAATCTGGCAAGGAACTCGGTGGACTGCAAATAATAATGCAGTTTTCCCATTTAATTCGTATTACAGCAGAATTTTAAACATGATATACTTAGAATATATCTCTTTCTTTTTTCTATTAACAACCTGGCTTCATAGTTAATAACCACAAGTTTATACCACCACACAGTTCTAATATTCATTCTGCTCTTTAAATGATCAGCTCCTGTCCCTGACCGACTTCCAAGCCCTGTTCAATCTCCAGAATCATACCAATATACCAATATTGGGGGTGCCTACAATGGCTAGAGGCATTACCTGAAGACTGCAACTGCTCAACCCACAAACCTTACCAATGCCACCACTTCAAATTAAATTCAATTTTTCCAACAAGAAAATACCCACTCGACAAGCAGAACATTGCAATAGGTTTAGGATATATAAACTGGGATAGGGTGCCCATTCTAATAAATGAACCTTCATCAAATTGACATTGCTTTAAATAAGAGATGTCAGAAAAAACTAAACAACTTAAATTGGGATGGTTAAATAAGGCATTATCAGTCTATTTAATATAGGCATGGCGCACCTGATCAAATAAGAGCTGCCCCGCTTTATTTATAAAAAGACCCAGAATAACCTTCCCAACGAAACTAATTTTCAAAAACTTTGGAACAGTAAAATCATCCACGTAAGGAAACCAATTCCAATCACCAAAGCAAAATAGCAACCATAATTGCTAAGACACTAAGGATTAGCTGTCATCAAGTATTACAAATCATAAATACACTTCTTCAATTAAAGCAAGAACTGGCTTTCCCATAAGAAGATTGTAAAAACCAGAACTGGCCCGATTAATTGAAAATTGGTCCTACTTAACTGAACTTCCTTTATTGCAATCGTTACATCAGTCACAATCTAATCCAAATCTGGTCTCGGAACCTAAGGTCCCAATCGAAAACCTAATCTCGATTTACATCATTCTTTCTCCCAGTAATCAAACAAATTTAACACCACAAATCACAATTCGAACACAGAAACTCAAATCAAAACATAAACCGTCACCTCCGACGAAAATCAAACCCTAGATCTCCGAAAATAAATCCAAACACCAATCATACAGATTCGGATCTGAACTCATAGAAACCGATAATTCATCTATGTATAACATATACATACATATATATATATATAGAGAGAGAGAGAGAGATTACCTCGGGGGAAAACGGCATAACCTAAAGACGCCACAGGAGGGCAAAGGCAGAGACTCCAGAGCTAACCCTATCTCTCTTCTCTTTCTCTCCCCCAGATGCCACCGCCTCTTCTATGCTATTTTGTATTGGTCTGCCTATTGTCGCATTTATATGTGGGGATGTGGACTTTGAATGAGAACGCAAGGCAGCATTTTTCGCGTTTTTGTGGCCCGTGGGAGATCGATCGTACCTAATAATATCTATACGCTGGTTCTAATCGTGTGTGTCGCGGTTTACTGGTGTTTAGTTGTGAAAGGATGATGGTTTTATAATTTAATTCGCTCATTGTATATTTTATTTAAATATTAAAGCATCGAGTCTTGTACATTGTTATCTTCATATTTGTAAAGGAGTAAAAAAAAAAAAAAAAAGAGGGAGAGTGAAGTAGAAAGATACGGAGTGAGAAGACACCGAGAGGAAGTAAATTTTATAGGCAATTAAGTACAATTAATAACATTTTATGGTGATTAAAGTTATAAAAGTTAAAATGTGGGAAAAAAATTAATAGTACAATACATGTGAAAATTAAGTCTCTTTATCTCCCTTTAGCATGTTTAATTGATCTAATATTGAGAGAAGTGGTACAGGATATTTGTATATTTTTATTAGTATTTTTGGGCTAATTAAGAGTTATACAAATTTCTTGTAGAATAATTCTATTCGTATACAAATAATTTTTTATTCTGCATGCACCGTACCATTACTAACATAAAATTCTAAAAATGATTAGTCAGCATCAATTTTTTAAAGTGAGATTGTGGTCGATTAAATGATTTTTGTTCTTAATAACCATCTCAATCACATACTCTTTAAACTTATGACTGCCATAAACCTCGAGGTACATATCCACCTTATAAATTCATGCACAATGAATCAATTAAAATATTTGAAATTTGAATCCATGACCTCAATGTACTAACCACGTATACACTATTATCTGAACTATGTAACCAATTAAGGGTCAGACTATAATTTGAGAAGGGTTCATGATCAAAGCCTTGAACCAAGTCAATTGGTTCAAAAGCTAAGGCAAACACATGGACATCCCCATGATGCCTCTACATGGAGAGCATCCCATGTGATCAAAAACAATTGGGGGTATTATTACTTAGCCTAATAATCACACAGAAAATGGGTCTTTTTATTTTAATATGCTTTAGGTTCAGAAAGGGAACAGAGGGTATGTGTGTGATATAGTTAGGTCATCGGGATGGGGTGGCATATTCCATCTTATCCTATTACGTAATATTCCTATTATATTGACTTTAGTTCCCGAGATAAATAATTGGCAAATTGCTAAAAATCTGTTCTGGTGGATGCTGAGGTGTGTCTGATTTGCCGTTGCGGTGGCGCCACGTTTCAAACCACCATTGGGTTGGGCGGTGGTGGCCTAACACAAAGGCTGCCAATTTGGTGAAGTTTTTGGTCCTCAAGTGTGTCTATGGCCTTAAAAAAAGTTTTGGACATTGTCAGCCCAGCCCATCTTAGCTTATGGATCCAACCTTCTTGGGCTTTTTTGTTGTGAGGTTAAGAGGATTTGGATGTGTAAACCCAGTCAGAACAGGCCAACCCGATTCATGGTCCACCATTTTGAGACCATGATGGCCCAAGTCCTTAAATTGGCAAGTAGTCAATAGAAATTCGGAATTTCAAATTGTTCTATCCCCGAAGATATCCATCAGAATAAAGATTACGTTTTTTAATAACGTTATGTTTAAAGGTCTAATATTGGATTAGATGAGATTCATGTTTTTTATTTTGAATCGAAATGAGAAAGAATCGATATTACCTATCTCTCATGATAAACCCATATTTCATAACAAGGAATCATCCTATGCATTTGTTTGTTGAACTCATAACTCGTGGCACAAATTTTAAATTTGTTAACTGCACTTAAACCATACAATCAATTGAACTCATAGTTATTGTGATCACAATAATTATGAGTTCGTTTATTAATCACACACATCAATAAATAAGTTCGTTTACCGTGATTAGTAACCAAGCTCCTCGCTTGACGGATTATTTCATTTTACCATTGTAGATAGTTTCAGCAAACGCGTCAAGATTATAATGGCATCCTCCAGTTGCTGACATTGACTTGAGTTAGATGGACCTCCTGAGGAAGAAGGTGATACTTAATACCTAGATGCTCGAAGATCTTCTTCAACTCAAGGATAAGCTCAGTTATGCGATTGTTCCTTTCACCATAGTTTTGATGGTTGATGGTGTGTTGGACGCATAAAGCCATCTTCATCTTGTCCACATTCTCTATCTCTTTCACTATCATCGAGTGCTTTGGGTTCCAATACTTCGGCTTGCTCTCTATGTATCTGCAGTACTCGTAAGAGAAGGTCAAGCTTTAGTTGTAGGAAAAAGATACAATAAGGATACTGCCGTAGTAACCAAATTAACCAAAGTACACACACGAAAAAGGTGATGAACGTTTTTTAGGAGCTCAATTTTGACTCATTCATGCTAATTCAAACATAAATTGATAGTGAAATTTTAAGCAGTTTTGTAAGCAAAATGAATCCAAATAAAGTGTGGTATGGTCCGACTCAACTCAAAAAATAGGTTATTGCCTCAAAATAGTTATAAATTTGTTTCCTAACAATGTCTATTTGAAATTGAATAACTCTAAACTTATCCCTAATTAGCTTCATATCACAAAAAACTCACTATTTCTCTAGTTTCTAGCATGGCAATTTTAGATTTCTAGCATGCAACTGAGTTCAATTTTGACCTGAATGCTTGTAAGGTTTTGCTAAGCCGAATTTCGTTCCACTTAACTAATCACAACCTGTTAAAGTATAAATATTTAAATTTTTACCCTTTCAAACAATTTAATCTTTTAGAGTAGATAGTGAGTTAACATAGTATTAGACCAGAAGGTTCTACATTCAAATCTCTCCACAATCCCTGATAATTAAAAAAATGCACGTGCTAAACTTGAACATGCTTAAACTGATCAGTATACACATGATGAGGTGTGTAAAAATATAGATACTTAAACTACACTATGTCTAACGCAGAACTTGAACATGCTTAAACTGGACAAATTGACTTATTTAACACCCTCTACAAACACACATGCATGCATACACAGAGAGGAGATAATGCTTACATTTGTACGGCCTTCTTGAGCGCAGTTATAGTTTCCATAGGCGTTGAGACATCGATGGTGAAATCAATAGTATCGCACATTTCTGGACTTCTGTAAAAATTGCTGATTGGCTTTGTGATAAGAACCGAGTTGGGATAGTAAATTTTCTCCATATCATATCGAAGGAACACTGTGGTCAAAATATTCATCTCTTCCACCACCATCTGCATAATCCATTTATGTCCAAAGTAGCAAATATACCAAGTATAAATAGGAAAATGCTTTTTGGATTTGATCTTGAGACTGAGACCTAATCAATTATCGTTGTTGAATTGATAATAGAACTCACAATTAATTTAATAGTTGCAATGAAGGAGATTCCTAATTAGGTAATTAAAACATTACTCATATTATTCGATAATAAAACGAAAATAATTGATTTGACACATTTTTCTACTCTTTACTTTTTTTTTCTAGACAAAATAGTTCCGTAAAGTATGTTCTTTGTATTAATTTAGTCATTATTCTTTTTATTTTGCCAATTTTTGTTGGGGATGGGCTTCCAATCCATAAGATGCACTTAATAAGTAAAGTGATATGTTTTATTATATAGTCCAGGACCCTTCATCACCAATTGACGTTGAACTCATTCGACACTCCAGTAATCTCCCTCTCTAACAAGTCTTACAATGAATGACTATTACTGATCTCATGCGACATAAATAATCAAGTCCACATAGTAGTTTGAGTCATGACTTTAATACCACTTGTTGGGTATATGTTTCTAATCCAAAAGGCGCACCACACCTAATAGGTGGAGTGACCCACTCCCTTACATAGTCTAAGACCCCTTAATCACCGATCGACGTAAGACACATTCGACACCTGAACACTTTTGACCCCATAAATTTTCATTATGGGTTTAATTGGTTTAGTCGAAAACTATTATTTAAATTTAATAATGAGAGTAATTAAATGGCAACACTTTAGGGATATTTTTGTATTTTAAAAATTTTGGGAGGTTATAGTGCAATAGTTTTCGTTTATTTTTTAAAAAATAACAGAATCACCCCCAAACAAAGTTTTAGAATTGCAAAACATGAGACATACGTGACCAATTTTGTTTTTATATTCAGAGAGGAGATGTTAAGAAAACTGATTTTTTATTTTTTTTTTTTTTGGGGGGGGGGGGGGTGGGTGGGGTGGGGTTGTACCTGAACTCCATCGATGACACAACGATCTCCAATGTCAAAAGGATGCATGACAAAAACGAAGACGATGGACTCAAATATGTTCTTGCATGTGTTTTGGAACATGAATCCCACCAGAACCAACTGTGTTATGAAGAAAACAATCACCTTCATTGTTGCCCACCCCATCACCAGCAGAGACACCAGGATTATAATCACACTAACAACTACACTTGCTAGCTTGTGAAGTTGTTGCACTGCTGTCTTTGTATCATTCAGAGAATGTGCTAGTGATTTTCTTTCGAAATAAGCACGAACCTGCTTAATTAGTGCACCAAACCAAATAATTAATTTTGTTAAAATATATACATGCCTAGATATTTACTCATAATGATATATTATATATTGGCACTACAACAAGTATTTTTTTTTTTTGGTGGTGAACAGTAAAATTTGTTGCCAACAAGAGCTTTTTGGCGACAATTTTAAAAATTTCTCTAGAAACACTTTTTTATGATATTTTTTACAACAAATTTTTGCAAAAAAATCCCACCACATTTTTTCTTATGGGTAAATGTTCCTTCAACTGTGGTGTTTATTTTAAATTCTATCATAAATTTTCAATTGCCTCAATTTATCTTCAAAATTATGTAATCTGTTTCAATTAACCCTTTGTTGTTAAGATTAATCATTAAATGAGATAATGTAACTATTAATCTTAATAGAATCTATCTAATTTAGTTATTAATCTTAACAAAACTTGTCTCAAATATTAGTTAATCAGGGTTAATTAAAATGAATTATATAGTTCAAGGAGAAAATTGGGTAATTAAAAGTTCAATGAATGATTTAGAACAAACGTCATAGTTTAAGGGGCATTTTTGAGATTTACCCTTATATATTTATACTGTTGTTGTGGCTAATGCACTAGAAATGGCATCTGCCTGTTAGAGTGGTAAAGCAGGTCGAATCAGGATGTCATTTAACTATGCTAATCTTAGGAGGGAATCTCTTGGCACTGAAAGATATGGGTATTTTCCAAAAATGTCCTTATGAAGTGGTCACTTCGCCTTCTTTTTTTTTCTTTGAATGACCGTTTATGATTGGACTATTTAAACACAAAATCACTTTTTTTCATAACCAAATTGACAAAATGGAAAAATTGGAGATCAACTGACACAAAAAAACATAGTTTTGAGACCAAAAAATATATTTTTTCCTAATATTGTATAATTTCCTAACTTTTTTTTAAAATAAAAACAATTTCATAGAAAAACAGTATTTAAAAAAAAATGTTACAATTGGTTTGTTTGTACAAGTGTATGTGTGTGTGACGGAGTCAAAAAGTCATGTCAGGGTTGACACAAATATTTCAACAAATTAATTTTTTTTTTTATAATCAATAGAAATAAGAAAATAATTTATATTTAATTACATTTTATTTAATACTTAAAAGTTCATTGAACCCGACATACCAAAATTTGGTAAGCTTAGTATATACAAACGACACCAAATTTTTTTTTTTTACAAAGTATAGGCTAATTAAAATTATTTTGAATTGACTCCGGTGAATTTTCATACTTTGAAACCGTTGTATAACAATTTTATTATTTTTTATATACACCATCATTTTATCACTTTGGTCTTTACATGTCCAAAATGTGTCAAAAAAATTCATATTTATTTGATATAAGTATACACTAATTGACGTGACAAAAAAATAAGATGAACATAATTAAAAATATTGAAAAAATACCTGAAACACATATAGGTAATGTTAAAAAAAAAAATTGAAGGTGGACATGTGCCCCCAAAGCATATGCTGGCTCCGGCCATGCTCTCTACTAAACCCATCAATTGTGTAAGGAACGACAAAAAAACCCAAGGAACTGAGGAAAGAGCTTTACTCCGTTTCTTCTTGTTGGGCAATTAGGAATGAGTGAAACAGTGAGGAGGGAAAAAAAAGATAACTAATAAGATAGGTGTTACTGATGTCTGTCAAGTGGGTCAAAAACTTTGTTTTTTAATGATGAGCTAAAAGTTTTATTTTTTTAATAGATTTGAGTGGATTGTGATATGTCAAAAATTTGATTTTTTAATAAATTTTGATAGATAGTGGTGGGTTCAAATTTTTTTATTTTAAATGAGCTTAATTTTTTAATTCTTTTGAGTAAATAATGTGGGTCTAATATTTTTATCTTAAATTTTGAGTGGGTACAAATAATATATTACACAAATGTATAATATATATACTTAACTAATAAAAAAAAAAATTAGGAGGCACGTGCCCACCCCGGCCCTGGCCTCGCTCCGCCTTGTGTGCGCGTGCACACAGAAGAATGATAAATCCAGCAATAAAGTTGGAGATATAATTTAGTCTTTGTATAGTATGTGTATGTTAAGAAGATAGAATAGTTTCCAACTTACCACCCAATTTTGGAATGCTGATTTTGCGATCCTTCCGGTCTCAAGGGCTCCTTCAAAGAGGGGGAATATGGTATGAATCTCAACTCGTTTTAGAAACCTCATTAAATCTTCCTCTTCAATGTACCTTCAACCAACACCCAACATTACTTTTTTATTAGTATCAAAACACCAAAGTTCTTGAATAATATTTACAATTTGATATTAATAGGAAATTCTAATGGGCTAAAATTACTTGAAAATTCAAGAAAAATATAATCAACAATATTATAAAAATACCTCTAACATCGGGATTTAAATAGGAAAATACTTAAAAAAAAATTAGACCCATCATTAAAATTAACTCTAATTGGTGCTCGATGATCATTGCTTTAATTTCGATGGCACAAATCTGACATATATGGAGTATAACATGAGCTGCACATTTATGGATACTGCAGGCCACTCCACTAGAACATGTCAAAAGAGAGACGGCAGTACTCTGCAAAACCTTTTTTTTCTTGTGGTTGGAGCTTTCTCTCATATAAGTTGCAATTTTGTAGCCTCAACGCATCTCTACTTGTTGTGATGCATGTATAATGCACAGACTACAGAGAGCACTACATGTTGCAAAAACCACCACCATTAAAAGTTGGGTGGTTTGGATCAATCTTTGTTAGCAACATAGTCTACTATATATGTGGACACCATGATATTATATATGTTGTGTCCCATAAAGCATTAGGGCCATCATGGTTTAAATAGCGATATCGGTCATCAAATTGTAAGGCACTTAATTACATCGGTTCTAGTGTAACATGACGGTATTAAGCGATAATAATAAAAATGGTGAAATACTACATAAAAGAAAAAGCTTAATACAACAAGACAAGAGATTTAAGTTAGTGTCGTAGAATGATATAGTGACAACAGCTTGGATGATTTACGGTCTGACTTAGAGAATCATGATTTACTTAGAAGAAAAAATAATATTAAATCAAACACTGTTGAGTGAGATATGATATATAATCGAATGGTATCGATATCTACCATACTTTTAAGCTTGTTTTGTACTAACAACAACAATGACAGAGAGTGATGGAGCCAATGAATGGCTGAGGACACTATAAACTGGTAGGAGAGGCCTAGACTAACAGAAAGGACTGGTATGTCTTACTTCCATTCATATGTCATATTCACATCATCACGCACTAAGAGGGGTACTTCAATAAGCACGTGAAGAGTGAAACGCCCATACCACAAACATGACCCACCATTTTGGCCGGTTTGGAAGGTGGTCTAGTTCTCTTGGCATGTAAATAACGTTAGTGGGATTTAATTTAAGAATATAGTATATTTTTGACTTTTAGATTAAAATAGAACTCCTTTTGAATTCATATTCCCTTAAAACCATGTTTCGTGGTTGTACGGTGGTGTGTGTGCGGATGCCGAGAGCATGTGGGACCATTTTAGTTAAGGTTTATATTTTTTTTTTTGAATAGATAGTGAAGGCTTATATGAGTAGAGTACTCTTGCGCTAACCAAATTTTAGAATTACATTTAGTGATCCAAATGAGTTAGAGTTCTCTCACCCAACAAATAATGTTCTGCTCCGAATGAACATATATAGATAGAGATGGAAATAGAGAGCTTACTTGGCACCTGGCTTGGCTACGTTCCTAAAGATCCTCTTGGCAAAGTTTGTGGCCTCCCACTCGCTGGTAATCTCTGACTGATCAGTCCCCCCAAATTCATCGACGGTCTTAGAAATGGTCGACAACCCAAAGGACCTTACATAGTTCACCAACCTCTTTACACTCCTCGCCGAACCTGTGCTCAGCTTTCTCAGCTCCTCTATATCTATCCTCCTTGACCCAGCTTTCGTCGACTTTGATAAATGCTTCGACTCCCTCAACTTCGCAGGCAACGACCTCGACACCACCAAGTTGCGGTGGTGCGCCTCCTCGTATTCCGCCTCGCCCATTGTTGGACCTGGCATTTTTTTTTGGGTAAATAAACGACTTTATTGATATGTAAAACATTTATGCTCTTACAATAAGAAGGGAAAAACCCTTTAATTAGAAATTGTTTTCATTAATTTTTCTTCTAGTTTAATTCACAAATTAAAACAACCCCTTCTAGTTTGAATGAATATTCTCTCTAATACGTTTTTTTTGGCAAGATCATCAACATTGAATTTAAGTGGGGGTCAATTGTTTATAGATGAGTTACCTACTAATACATGGAGAGTGATCTTTTTTTAGTATTATGATTAGAGATATTCGAACCAGTTTACGTGTATTTTGATTAATTATTTCCTCGGTCCGTCAAAGACAAACTATCCAAATCAGAACTAGACAATTCATGAGCAACAAATCACTTATGATCTAACTCCAAAATAATTTGTCAAATTTAGAACTCATAAAGAGTGATCTACCTATAAAAAAAAATGAAGAAAGAAACTATAGGAAGAATCTGATTTAATAACTAGCCCCGTAAACAGTGAGATTACGAGAGAAAATATGTATGATTTCTATATTATTAAATCAACAGACTAAGTCATATTTTTTTGTCGAAAAAGTATTATTCTAGAATAATGCATTTAGGGACATGTTAAAAAACTTCCCCAAGTTAAATTCTCACCCGAGAGGGTTTCTAAAATGTAATGGTGAAACACACTCTCCTTCATACGATCAAAGTAGGTGGCCACATGAAACGAGGAGGCTAAAACCTTGACCAAAACAATCTTGATGAGCCAAATGGTTGCACCATTGAGTACAGCGACAAGAGCTTGAAAGACTTTCTTAACCACCTTGTTCTTCTGGTGCACTTCTGGACTGAACATGAAGGTCCATCCAAGTAGAACAAGACCTAACCACACACAGTTTTGGATGCTCTTTCTTAGCCCATAAACGAAGTACAAGACCTTCTCACGAAGCATAAAGTTTCTCTCAATGAGAAAGACAAGTAGACGAATAATCCAACCAGAGACAAGACGGCCACTGAAGATTACCATCACCATTAAACACCATTTCCATATCTCAAGTCCGAATTTTAACTGGTTCTTGAGAGATGGGACTGTTAGCGAACAGATCAAACAAGTCACTATGATAATGAACAATACCCATTCCATCAAAACCCTCCATTGGAGTTTTTTCTTTTTCTTTCTGTACTTTTCTTGTCCCATTCCTCCATCAGAATCGTCAACCTCTTCTTCTTCTTCTTCATCTTCTTCGTCATCCTTATCATCACCATCGGTGGATGAATAACTTCCATTTGGCTCAAAGGGTGGTTCGAGTTCGGTGGATTCAGGGAATGGCTTGTGGTGAAGAGGAAGATTGAACTCGACGAATCGAGCTTTGGGTTTTGAGAAGGTGAGACGACGGAGGGTTTGTTGTTGTGCTCTTGTGGGGGGCTTGTTGGTGGAGTACTGCTTTTCTTGATCTCCAACAATGGAGTTCTGGGGTTGTGTTTCGAGGGTTTGGTTCTTGTGAATGTGTTGGTCCATTTGTAGAACCACCTGGTCAGAGGTTGATCTTGACATCTCTCTGGGTTGCAGTTGCACAATTCTTCAGCTTGGTGTTACTGTGATCCTTATCATCGTCCACCATATATAGGACTAGGGGTGTGAAGATGTCAAGGGGAGAATTGGGAGAAAATATATCCAATGTAACATTATGTGTGACCGACTAATTATAAAATATCATGTAAACTTACTAAATTACATTATCGGAGACATAATTTTAGGACTTAATTATGATTATTATGATAATTGAATTGTCATTCGATCTCAATATATAATGTACGGAAAGAATTTAGTATGAAAATTTAATTTAAAATTTAGCATAGTATAATTATTTAATTAGCTGTGAGTATTAATATTAGAATAAAATATACTATTAATCCAATTAGTATAACACATTAATAAGCTTGTCCATTTTAGTTTTATTTTTTCATGTATTCATGATCGTTCTCTTTTTCTCATAGTTTGCTTATTTTCTTTTCTCTCATTTTTCTGGGTAATGGTTTGGAGAAATGTTGGCCTCGATTGCTGTTCTGGCCCATAAAAATGCTCGGTTCATAATCGAGGTCTATTTGGGTAGTAGCTCCGGCTCCGGCTCCAAGGGGGACACTCAAACTCAAGACCGCCATGCTTGCACTTGCACACCCCCTTAGAACCGTAAACATGGATTCATCCCGATTATTACATGGTACACGTGGGACAAAATGATTATATGCGTCCACAAAAACAATTGATAGGTAATGAGACCCGGGTACCTCCTACTCCTACTTAACAAAATAAAAAAATAGATAAAATCACCACAATTTTATAATTTTTTCTTCTAACTTTTTTAAAATTTTGTCCTAATTTAATTTATTGTATTCATAAAATATTATTAATGACTTAAAAAATTTTAAAATTTATTTTTAGGAATTATTATACATAATTTATACATATAAGTAATAATTTTTTTATTTTGGCACAAAACCAAAAAAAATTAGAGAGCCGCTCAGAATGAACAGACTTTTTCAGCTATTTAATGTACACTCCCAACGATTTTGGAAGACATTTTTAACGCTGATTTTTTTACGAAACTTTTTAAATCACAACTTTTCAGATGAAAAAGCCAACTCCAAAGAGGCGCAATCTAAAATGTGTTTAAGACTAAATTCCATGGTACATTCGAACAACCCTTGGGGAAATTCATACTGTTTAAAGATACAATCAATAACCTAAAGCAAAATTTCTCCACAGTAGAATAGAAAAGTACAGGGCATGAGTGCAAATTTGAAACATTCCATGAAAGGAAAGGAAACTTCAAAAAAGTAAGAAACAGATTTCATTAGATACATAAAAATCATGAGCTGCAATGGTGTAACTGTTCAGCTCATTACATATTTCATATCCAGCTCTAACACAAACAAGAAGAAAAAGAAAAGCCAAAAACGAAAAAGAAGGATACAACATGAGATCAGAAGGATACAAGAAGAAGTATCTGTTCAGGCTTGCAAAGAATATATTGCGCAGAAAAACACGAGAACAAAAAAAAATTAGATTATTTTGGAATCTAATTTTTAGATTAAAATTTTGAACTTTAATTGTTTTGTAAAATGAACTAATTCCTCTGTGAATGGTGATGGAACTTTTTTCTCTTCTACTGATGGTACTATAAATATTACCGGTTTCTCCATGAGATATATTGCCAACTTGCTTTTCTTTGTCTTCTCATCTTGAACTTTGCTTAGAGGAGTACCAGAGTTTCTTCTGGCAAATCAATACCTTCTCCTTCTCAACACCATATTCGGTGTCTTCTTTGCGACAGCCCCATCTCATCCCCTTTGCCATGGTAGCAATAGCATCCACAAAATAGCTGGATTCTCTGATTATTGCATACCCATTAGGCCGCAAGATCCGATCCATCTCCAACAGCACATACTTCATTTCACATCTGCCCAAGCATTTAAATATGTTAAAAACCAAAAACCTTCTATTCTAGATGAAGTAATGGTATTCTATGATTCATTTCCCCTCGTGCCACCCGAGAAAAAGGAGAAGAAGGGTGGAGGAGGAGGAGGAGAAGAAGAGTGATGGGATACAAAATTAATTAAACAACCAAGTATATCTATGCAAATTGGTTGATGACACAAAGGAACTTAAGCACAATGTTCTTACCTGTGACTTTCAGCAGTAAAGAGGCCATCTAGGTGAAGGAGATCATACGTTCTTGGATACGTTGAGAAAGCCTCACACCTTCAAAACAGAAATCAAATAAATCAATATATATGAATGTACTTCCATTAAACAGTAAGTTTCATGAAACAATTGCCCAAAAACAAGTTTCATCACACCCGCCATAATTTGCCATTTTAATAAAAGAGATAAAAAGTACCAGTCATGGTAGGTTCCAATGAGGCCCCTATCATAGACCACGGCAAGTGTGTTGGCAGCATAGGAGGAGACCACATTCATGACCCAAAGCGGGTCATCAATCAACGTTGCAGCAAAACCTCCATAAACTGTATTCATGTCCATCACATTTCTTATCTTATCGGTCCCAATCGCAGGGAGCAACTTCTTGTAGTGCTTAATTCGAGCCTTCCATTTACTGTCATCGTGCTTGAAAGCACCATCACTGCCACCGCGAACATCAGAAACGCGTTCAGGTGCAACATGCAACCTTTCTGGCCACTTGGGAAGAGCTTTTATTGATAATTTCTTAAGTTTTGTGTTTGGGGCAACCACGCAAGGCCGGAGTGGAGTGTACCACGCTGAGTCTGGTTCTGTGCCATCGTCACACTTAGGTGGGTAGTAGTCTGGGGTTTCAAGCTGTTTATAGCAGCTATTATCTGAAAGCTTCTGCCACACTGCAATGTCATCCTTTTTATTGTATAATTTGAAGCACATTGATGTTAACAGTTCCTGCAACTTCTCATAATCGGATTTCTGCTCTTCAATAGTAGTGTTCCATCCTCTCCAACGGTTTTTGTAATTCACTGGTGGACCAGATAGAACCCAGAAGCCCCCAGGTCGGAGTATGCGGTGAATCTCAAGAAGGTAAATTCCACCTGAAAAACAAAAACGAAATCGGCATGAGAGAAAAGAACTGAATATTAACAAAATAAAAGCATGCAAGCAAGATTGTTTGCTTAGATTGAATACATGAATTCAATAAGCAAACTGAAGCCGAGATAAGGAGTGCTAGAAAATTTGGAAACAATGTCATTATGTCAAACATTTGGGGGGACATAACAGAGATAATTGAAGAAATCTATAAGATGATAATAGATCTCAGCCACTCCTCAGAGGGCCTCCAAGTCGGTTCCACCAATCAAAGCATCACGTCAAATAAATCTTGATAAAATTTTCTAAACAATCACCTGCACAAATAAAAGATGCCACACAACTAGATTTCCTGTGAAAATATGACATAAAAGTTGCTAAGCAGGATAAGGTGTTGCCAATGTACTGAGGTGAGGCACTAAATTTAGATGTTCATCTGATGACACCCCAACTTCCATGGGCCCAGAAGCATTTTAGTTTTTTTTTTTTTTTTGGGGGGGGGGGGGGGGGGAAGGGGAGAGAGAGAGATACAAATTCCCACTGCCTAATGGTTCTGAAATAATATGAATCTTGGCGTCAATCATAGTTGCTAGTGATTAATTACCAAATTCTGTCCATGGGATAAGGCATCTTGAGCAATGAGCCATATCAAAAGAGTTTGAAGGGAAAGGAAGTCGCTGCGTTGAAATGATGCCCAGAATAGCAGGAATTCCACGTTCCAGTGCAAATTGAACTTGAGCCTCGTGATTATCTCTTGGTGCAAGAGAGACTGTTAGAATCCCACGATCTATTAAATCACCTCCCCAGCTAGCAACCTACACACATCATAAGTTTAGAGACTAGCTGATGCAAGTGCTTCCAGAAAATATATGTAAAATCAATGACTACATTATTTTTTACAACAGCATTAATGTTTGTTCAAGAAAACCTTAAGTCACAATGAACTGCATCTATCCAAATCGAACCATTAGTTTAGGAAAATGTATCCAATCTAGTTGGTCGTGAATGAGCTATGAAAAATTCTATAGCAGATATTGTTTGTCATCTGTACACATGAAGGCATAATAGCATCATTTTAGCACTAAATTGGGAACTTTGCATGCATTTATGTACACTTGAGTACATCCAACCAACCAAAAAAAGAGCATCTTGAACACCACAAGGTCCACAACAAAAGAAAAAGCTGGAAATCAGGATTTCCAATTACTTAATAACCAGACAATCTTTTATTCAACCCAGATCGTTGACAAATTAGCGGCAAGTAGCAACAAGTCTCAACATTTAAATTTTCAAATGATCAATCCAATGCAAAAAACAAACACATGATAAAATGGACTCACCCCACATCCTGTATCAATGGCAGTCCTTATAGTCCCATCTTTCATTCCCGGGATCAGATCTTGCATCAGATCAATATAGGGACCAACACCATTGGGGAACATAGTACCCCCACCAGGGAAGAGAAACTTCTCCCCCTCTTTCTTCAGCCAATGCTGGTTAGACTTCTGTTTGTTAATCCAATCATATGGCACATTCCTGAATGAAGATCCAGAGAGCAACCTTGCGTTACGTTCAGGGATGAGAAATCCAATCCAAGTGATGCAAACCCATGAATTTTTTTGAAATAAGACCCCTCCAGAGAATAAAAATCAAGCCACATTACCTGTACCAACTTTCATTTCTGCTCTTGGGCCATCTAATTGGTAGCTTGTACCCATCTGGTGGGGGAACCAAGCACTCCTTTCTCTCAAATACTGGAGGGCAGTGCCGTTCCATGAAAGTAAGCCGATGAACACCATACTTCCTCCACCTCTGCAACACAATCAAAATGTCATTTTATTTAAGTAATTTTTATGCTTTACATGAAATCCGAGATCGAACAAAGCCTTAAAACAATGGGACAAGGCATTAGTAAATACCCTTGGGTCGGTGCACGGAGTGTAATCTTGATAGTTACTGCTGCACTCAGGGAATGTAATGCCTTTTATTTGGAGAGGGCCAGCAGCCGTTTCCTTCCGAGATTCCACGGCTTTAATCACCTCCTTGCTAACATATCTGTCCTTCTCCGAACAGAATATTCCACCAAGATAGAATGAAAACCCACATAGCACAACAAACATTATTGCCATGGGGACAGTCCTGGAACTTTTATCAGGTTGAGATATTGGTTTCCCATCTTTATGCTTCATGGTCCCAGAACTAATCAACGATCTGCACATAGGCAAGAAAGTTGTAAGCCACCAACCAATGCGTCAAAAAATTAGCATAAATTTCATTTCCCAAAATTCTTGAAAACTTAGAACAAATTTCATCTCCCAGAACTACAAATTCTCCTTTTAGCTCTGTTTAATTTTGATAAAAGAATAAATAAAATTTGGAAGGTTACAAAAGCTGCCTAAAAATTGTACTAAAATCCTAAAATATCAGATCATCTATTGCGTTCTTAACAATCAGCTACACTTTCAAACATGAGGACTGAAGTACTTGAAACATGCTTACAAATTTCACTGGTTCTGAACCAGTAATCTAACACTAGTCAATTAAAATAATCATCAAAACAAAGCGCCAAAGCCCAAATGAAAAAAGAGAAGTACCCAAAAAAGTTGAGCAGTTATGCAATAACTTCGTTAACAAAATATGAAAAGCCACTTGATTGCACAAAACCTAGTATCGAAAATCATAAGTTGATAGAGGCTCCTTGCTACGCTCCACACATATTCGTATGATTTTTGTGGATCTTGGGTGCGATTGAATTCAACCTCTCGTTTCGACTTCACAAATCCGGATCAGAAACAGTGCAAACAATGTAAAGCTAATATAAGTTAACGCTATCAAAGGGTCAGAGAAAAACAGGGATTCGAGCAGATCCAGTGGTCAAACTAGCCATTAAAACGACTTAAAATTGTAAGATTTAATAGCAACTACCAAGACAGTACACTTTCTGTGTCACTTTGCCTTTATATTTTCCCCATGATATGGGCCCAACCCTCGTGAAATTCAGCCGTCCTAGTGAGGGCCCCCTTGCCCTCTAAGTCGGCAAAAAAGATGGAAAGAAAATGAAACCAAACCAATCAGTTCCCTACCAAACCTAACCATGCAAAAGGCAAAAGCACAGGAAAGAGAAAGCATCATCGTATACAGACAGTAAATGCATACTTAATCTGCTTATAAACAAATGTTTTCCTTGAAGCAAAGGAAAAGTTGCAATTATTAAATATTTACTGTTTGTCAACAACCTATTTTTCTTGTGAGCAATCTATAGCACACTGACCTCATTAAAGAACAATCCATCAAACACATAGTTCCAAATCATATCCACAAAAGAATTGCATTTTTTTCTCACCAAATTGGCTGAAACTCAGAGTAAATGCACCAAAGAGAGATACAGTCAAGAGCCCGTACATGTTATAAATATATATAATATAAACAGAGAGAGAGAGAGAGAGATGGAAATTTGAAAGATTCAAGTTCTTTGAAGATCCATCGGTTAAAGGCCAAATCTAGTGCAATAAAATCAACCAACATTGAGGACATTAACAGAGAAAATAAAGGAACCCTGTGTCCAGAATCAGATCTGTTTGACAAAACTGAAGAAAACCCAAAAGGAAAACAAGCAAAGATGGTAACAATTCAGAACATGAGAAAGACAGAGAGAGTAATTCACATCCAAAAGTGAATGTGATACTGATAACACAACGCCAGGATCTAACGGAAGAAAGAAAAAGTACCAGCCGAAAAAACAGAGTCCAGCATGCCAACTTGAGAACAGGTTGAGATGATACATATCATACATTAGAGAGAGAGCGAGAGATGGTCAGAATTGTACCTCTACTTATGTACCTGAGCTTCTGAAATGCGTATATATCAGACAAACGTGTATACACCCAATGCCCTCTACTTAACAAGCTACGATGTTTCAGAATCAAAATCAGGTAGATGTTGAATCATCTGAGATCTCTCTGAATCTTCAAGAGAGAGAGAGACCTAGGATAAGGGAATATAAGGAGGCAAAGACTGAGATATCTCAACCTCAACCTCAACCCCCACACACATGTACATAAACACACAGCACAACCTTAAATAAAAAAAAAAGACCCTCTTGTTCTCCCCCTTCTGCCTCACTGTCTTCTTTCTTGTTTTTATTACATCAACTTGAACCCTGAAGGTCCCTTCCTCCCTCCCTCTCTCTCTCTCTCTCTCTCTCTCCCTATAATATATGTGTGTATATATTTAAATAATAATATAATTTAGAATTTAAAGTTTATTCCCACATACTTTTTCCATATATTTCTATCGGATGATTCATTTTTATTACAAGTAAAATCATTTAATTTTTATTAATTTATTACTTAATACAATTTTATAAGATAACATATATATATATATGTTAATATTTTTTTGAGGTCATATATTATGAAAAAAAAATGTCACTTTTTTTTGACAAAAAATGAGTAGAAATTAATTTTTAAATTATATAAATAAAAAAAAGAAAGAAAAAAATATTATTTTATATAATATAATTAATTTTTAGGCATTCAAATTTTATTTTGTATGGTTCTAGACTATGGTATATGTAGATATGGTATATGTAGATATAGTATATCAGTTTTTATGTAACATTTATTTCCGCTTGTGGGAATGGGAAATCCAAATGGATGATAAGATAAAAGAGAATGATTTCTACTTTCTACCGGGGAACAAAAAGATTTGTATTCCTTTATTACGAGGGGTGAGTGGTGTTTGGTTCAATGGAAACTTTCCTCACCAGTCAGTTAGCAAGGAAAAAAGAAAGGAAAGTACTGAACACTGCCATGTCAGATTTTTTGTTTTGGGTTTGCGGTTAAATATAGATGCCTATATTAAGTGACGCGTGTCTAAAATTACTCTTTTATAATTTAATAAAAATAAATAAAACTAAAATTTAAAACAAAACCTTGAATTTGGGGTTGCAAATAAACAAGATTTACTTTTATTGAGTAAGGAGGCCCCATTCTATTCTATTCTATATGGGGCAAATTACAAGATTGTAGTGGATAATTCCATAATGCAACCCACTAATATTTTTTTTTTGCTCATTAAGCAACCCACTAATCTAAAGCCATAATTGGTCTTGATTAGATTTTTTGTTCTTTTTGCACTCATTAAGCATTCTCAATTAAGGAGTAAATATTGGATGCAACACTGATCTCACTTTATTATCGAGACGTGATAATATTATTCAGTGACAATATAAACATATGAATTATGAAATGATGTAAGTAACGTGAGTTCAATTTGATTTCGGCTCATTTAAATTGTAAAATAAACAAAATGTGATTAAATTTTTAAGCTTGTTTTGCAAACCAACCAATCCGAATAACATGTGGTTCAATTTGAGTAGGCGGATACAAGTTCTTGTCTAATTATAATTTTCTTCACTAAACTATGGTTAGAACCAAATCGACCGTCGGTTATCCATCTGTATACGTGCAGAAAAGAATTGGTACAAGTTAAGTACCGAGCAAGTTGAGTTGAATATTATTATAGTTTGGTAACAAAGTAGGACAAATTAAGGAGCAAACCACAAAATCACATGGATATTGACCTGCAGTGCTGATTAATGGGCCTTCTTTCACATCTGCACCACCGTCAACAAGTTCGTCTCTTCCTGCACTACTGTACTGCCGGCCCCTAGATTAACCATTACTATAATAATTATTTTTATTTTTTTCCCGATACCCTAAACAGCTCCTTAACAAAATCATTAACTTAAATTGTAGTGGGGAAATACAAGAAGAAGTCTGTCCACCTCATATATGCTACCCTAACCACCTATGAAAAGTATAACTGTTGTTTTTTTTTTCAGCCAAATTTAGGCAAGATTTCCCTTATTTGTTTGGTAATCCATTTGTCATTATGGTGCTTCTCACATGCCTGTTTGTAAGGTCCCCCCTCCTCCCCCAAAAAAAAAACCAACTGGATTGTACTTTGTCATATAATATTTTGTAATGAATTTCATACCATACAATGTTGAGATTGATATTTTTTGTAAGAATTATGTTATATAGACTGAATTTATCGACCCAAATCAATGTTGTCAATAAATTATTAATGGGTCTTAATATTAAATAACGTCCACCTCTAATCCATCGAGGGTGCAACATATTAAGGGTTGAAAGAAAATCAAATGTCTGAAGAAAATAGTTACATATGCCCATGCATTATGATCTTTCCCTCTTGATTGTAGATGGATGGTCAAGAGCAACATGATAGTCTCCTTTCATTTTCATGCCATGTTCTTAGTTGTAGCACATCACATGATGATAGCATATAGTATGAAAAAGAAAGATCATCTTTATGTATACAAATAAATAAACAACCTAGAAAAAGGTACTACTAATCCGTATGGAGTATGAATAGCCAATAACATCGTGGAAAATAATTTTTTTTTGTTTAACAGTTAGGAAAGTCCGAGTCATCTTATGTGCACTTCGACTAAGGTAATCTCTCATGACCTGACTTCAAAAGATTGTCAAAATTCGAATTCAAAAAATCTGAATTTACAATTCGTCCTTGTTACCATTTAATCTAATCTCAAGATTATGGAGGAAAATTGCTGGTCAAAGGCCAAGATATCCCTAACATGCATGGACGGACCAATGTTGGGTCCTAGTGGTGCTATGATGCGATGTCTATTTAATTTGCTTTAAAATGTTCAACATTTTGGATTGATTTTTTCAACTTGGCCACTGATTTTGAATTTTCCAATTCTATACGGTTATCTTACCTTCATCAATGAGAACAGTCGGTTGAATGCAAAGATACATCTAATTTATGTCGAGTGTATAGTGATCGTATTCGTAATCGAAGAAAACAGTCGATTCAATGTCTAAATATCTCTAATTTGTGCGGTTACCTCAATAGATGGGTAGAGTGTGTGAGATGACCTCACAGCATAGATGATAATGGTCGGCAAGAGATGAAGATAAACTATAATAAATAAAGTATCTATTCGTAAGCTAAGACAAGCATGCACGATGTCCTTTTCACCTCTTAATTTAGTGAAATTGTACAAAGTTATCAATAAGGAATAGAAATTTGCATCACCGACACTATGTTTTATTACTTTATTCTTTGCTTGGCCATGGCTATTACAGCTATACGTTTGCTTTTTGTATACCAAAAACTTGGAAAAAAGGGTAAGCATTGGATCTGATTTTAAAAAGCATATCTATTCGGTCTCTGACTTTTTCGAACTTATAGTAACAATATAATTGTACCTCTGTGAAAAGTTCATCTTACCAATTCATTAAAAAATTATTAAAATAGAAACTTTGATTATATTATAGTAACAAGCTAGAAGTTGGAATCACCCTATAGTTTAGAATATTAATTTTCTTTAAATAAACATTTGAGCGTAGACAAATTCAAAAATGATCGACGGGTTAGGTCATCGGTCAACAATTTTATACTTTTTTCGGTACGAAAGTTAATTTATCCAAATAAACCACTGTAATGAGAGGCCAATCGATTCCCCTGGACCTTCTAGTTTTCAGACCAACCCATGAATCTAGAGTCATATGACAAGGCTTAGAGGGATCGATAGAGATAGTTTGGCGAAAATAATCTTATTTGTTGATTTAATATATTATAGTCATTAGAATACTGATGAATATTCACTAATAGTGAAATTCATCGTCAAGTCAATGGTGGAAAGTGATTAAGTCAATAAATTAGGTTCATATAAGATTACTCTAAAGGATACGGGATGAACAAGCCAATATAATATGGGGGAGAGAGAGAGATTGCTTGATGCAGATGGTTAGGTAACCCTCCAAGTGGTGCAATTCAAGGGATAATGGGTTTAAGAATAAGCGTAGGAGGTGACGATGAATCACATGCAACCGGTCCCTATCGAATCAAGAGATCATACAAAATAAGTAAAACCCGATGATTCAACAATGGCATATGCAACCCCATGTGAGGGCGTCCCACCTCCATGTTTACAACTATAACGTTTTGTTGACCACGGCGTTTTTTGTTAGACTTTAAATTCATATCACATCACAAATATTCAAAGGATGATTTTTTGGATTATTATGCATATGAAAAAATTCTACACTCCACACACTTCCAATAAAATCAGGGAAGGTTATGATTCAATTAGATGAATTGACGGCAAAATAAGTTTTGTTTGTGTACTGAATTTTGATATTTTAGAATAGATTATAATATTTTAAGTTTGATCTTAATTTTTTTGAGTTAGAATTATAATTAACTCTAATTGTTACTTTTGATATGGTGATCACTTTTTAATAGGCTATATATTGTTTGACGACTCTAGATTCAACTGGACTTGGGTCCAGATTATAGCATCAAAAAAGGTCCGGCCCCCGGCCCGCATCTCAAAAGTTCAAGAAGGATCAGCGTAAGTGAGAGGACAATCATCGAGATAGCCATGACTTAAAGATAGTGTTTTTTCCCAATTTAAGCTATCTTTCCCAAAAGACTAGTAATCTGACCTTCACGTCAACGCTTCAATTAGGACTTTATGCCTATAAATTGTAAATCCTTTAAATGGGGAAGACATCTCTCACATACTACACCTTGAGCTTATTCTTACCCTACCTTTCTCTCACACTTACATCTTATTCTCTTATTAATAGAGTTTTTTGGCTACCGTTGTCGCTTTCAGTGATTAGGTCACTTAAATCCAACCACCTAATCTTTGGTTTTTGTTATTGATTGTCTTATTAATTATTTTACTCCATACATTTGAATGATTTGATTGTGCATAATCAGATTTGTGCATCGTCATTGTCGCTAAACTAAGACACAAACACTAACAAAATAAATGGAGTGACACGTGGGTTTTTGTTTCTTTTTTGAGATATATTTTATAAATATAAATTTTTTCTCCTCAAAATGTACCCGAATTTTAAAATTTTAAACAGGATTTTTAGTTTGGATTGAAAAACTAGGGCCTGTCGAAAATAACATGTTGCTGTCCTATGGCTAAAATAAGGGTATGATAAGGTTGCTATTGGAATTTCACACATTTTATTTGTCTATCAGTTGACATTTTGATAAAACTAGGTCAATAACTTGGGATTTTGGAAATTGAGAAGAACCGCCTAAAGTACTAAACAAGAATGATTAACCCAAACATCTTAGATCTTGGTGGAATTTAGGACTACTGTGAAGTGAAGACCAAATTTCAAACGACCGTTGGGGGTAGCTCGGATGATTAGATTTTACTAGTCAACACCTTAAAATTCTAAGCTCGAGTGTCGTAAGACACATCATGCTTGTTCGATTTACGAGTTTTGCAATTAATTGCATTCATCCTTAGATTACAGAACAAGAAGTCCAAAGAAAAATGGAGCAATAATGTAGGGCTCGAATCCCATCATTTAACTAAAAACGGACAACAAATTTGTCAATTCCTTATCTTTGATGCGGAAAGGACACAAACTATTGCAGAAACAGGTTAGAGCCTGGAATGGTGGTGAAACAAGGGTGAGCTTATTAAGTTTATTCTTTTAAATAAGTTTAAAAAATTGTTTAAATTTAACTCATTTAAAAAGTGAGCCGAGATAGAGTCGAGTCGAATCCAAACAGCTTGACTATTTTTCATATAAACGAGTCTAACTTTGCGAATTCGAATTGAACTTTTTAACTTTGTTTTTTAAATGGATCTAAAAATTTGTTTAAGTTCTGTTCGTATAAAACACAAGCAGAGCTTGAATTGAGTCTTATCCAAACCGAATCCAAATAACTTAACTTAATTATCAACCCTACTTTTAAAATAGTAAATTGTTTTTAGCACTCAATGTAGGGGAACTTCAACAATCCGTCTCTTGGACTACACTCATAATCCACTTAGAGTGTGCTCATCATGCCATGCATGGGTAGCTTGAACCCTTTAATCATGGCTTGTTGAGTGTAATTTGTCCTTAAGTTTTTAATTTGCGACTCTTGAGGGAATGATAAAGTCATAAACAGTCTAGTGTATAAATTTGTACTGATCAATCTATTGACTAAACATATTTCACCGGTCATTTTAGTTAAGGGGGGAATTGAATATAAAACAGAGGGAAAAAAAAAAGGATTCTAGTAATTGATGTAAGCTTGGCATCTTTGTACAAGTTTAAAATATCAATTATAAAGATTATACACGTTTAATGTAGATGGCCCAAAAGAGGCCCAGGGCCCGTTAAATCTGATTTTGCCTTGGAAAGGTGGCGACCAGCATGATAAGCAATGCTTAGTCGCCAAACTTTGAAAAAAAGATTCAATGTATCTGGCTCGCCACAAATGGATTTGTCTGAAATGGGTTGATTATAAGCCCGCACTGGGTAAAGCTTAAAACATAAGCGAGCTTTTAAAGAAGGGCCCAATTTTATTCGAATATCATTAAGAGCAAATTACACTTTAGGACTCCCAACTATGTCCTCTGTCTCATATTATCCCCTCAATTATCACTTTTCTTACATTTCACCTCAAATCATAGTTATATGTCCACATTGCTCTCTCATCTATCACATTTCTCATATTGTATCTCCAACTAATTTATATATTAAAAACGTGTATTATACAATACATGTTGGCTTGTGTTTGTCCATAACATGAAGGACATTAAATATTCGCTAAAAGGCGGGGGTATGGTATAGTTTTTAGGAGTGAAATGCATCGCCCTTTCTTTTAGAGCTAGGTCGCTTAGAACTTTAGGTTCTAAGATATTTATTATTAAACGATATGCTAGGAGGTTCTCATACTAGCCTAAAAACTAAGAAAATGAGACTAACATCCCCTTGAGGATTAACTTTTCGACTTCTTTCTTGAAATAGTGTAAAACTAATTTAAGTAAACTAATTTTTTCATCGATATATCAATGTTTTACTTATTTGGTATCATATATATATATTTTTTCCATACTCAATAAGTAAACCAAGTTGCAATTAGTGCATTAAAACCGAACGGACATTAGCCTTGCTCACTTCTCAAAAATACATTTCAGCACCCAAAAAAGAAAAAGAAAAAAATTAGAGAAAGCATGATTCATGTCAGCATTTAAAATATACACCTATCATTTTCCGGGATACATTTTCTATACAAATATTCGCAATAAACAAAATCTACAAGTCGTCGTCGTCACTCTCTCTCTCTCTCGCTCGCTCGCGAAGATGGGGAGTCAATTGTTGCTGTGATTTGATGAAAGGAAAAAGACAATGGCTGTTTTGATATTTGACAATTTATTCAGCAATTAATGATAGTTGCTGAGGCCTACTCAGCGTAATCAATGACCTCTTCTCCGTAAGCATTCAATGACCTCTCTCTCTCTCTCTCTCTCTCTGGGGTGGAATTTTTCTCCTTTTTGCTCACATCAGTAGAAGCAGTTTATCAAAAATTTCTTGCTAAATTAAGGTGAATTTCACCCCAACCAAATAGTTTATGAAAATTTTCTTCATAAATCAATGTAAAAGGTCAAATTAGTAGGTCTTACGCAAATATTTTTATTAATACAAGATAGGTCTGGTATCATACATGCAGAGTAAACCCATATTACAGATGCAAATTAATAAAAGTTCAATCACAATTTCAGTTAGGTCAAGTTCACCGTCCTAAAAGACCAAGTCTATTATTAATACACGTGGAAATCTCCATTTTAAAAAAGGGTATTTGTAGAACTCAGTCATAGAAATGTAAATCACCAGTTTCACAAAGTCACCTTACTAGTTACAGAAATAATGTCATTCTCACGGAACCACCCTCTCTTCATTACAAGAATGATGTCTCAATCAGGATTCCCTCGAAGCTGTTATGAAACTTTATTTGCCTATAAATTATAAGTCTTACCTATCCATGGGGACATCACTCATCTTTCAGAACTCTGAACACCTTGAATAATAAATTTTTTTAACTACCGCTGTCATTCTCTGTAGAATAGATCACTCAGATTAAACTACTTATTTTGTGTGTTTGATTGTGTTAATCATACTCCATCACATACAGCAGTACATATTTGATTGATTTTGTTTGTATAAACACTTTTGTGTATCATCAATCTTATCAAATTGGACTAATTAAGTAGATTTCTTAAAATTGAAATTCTGCTACCCATAAAAAATATGTGTAATATGATACAAATATAATAACAAATAGGTGAATCGGGATATATTAGTTCGTCTCCAAAAAATGAGTTGACACAAATTATAAATTCGTACCCTTAATATTAAACATAAATAATCCGAAAAGTGATACAATAAACTCGTCACAAGAGAAAATATTAGATACGATATCTTTGAACGAATGGAGTAATTTCAAATTTTGTGAAGGATTTGGTTTGAAAAAAATGAGATTCTGAATTTGTAATTGATTTGGACAGGATTAATAAATAAAGTGGAATTAATATTAAAAGGTTTGACACTATTATTTAAATAAATCAAATTTATAATATAAAATATGACAGATTTCAATAAATTTATATCAATGTTTCATATACATTCATCCAATGACTATCAACATTCCTCTGAAAATTATTTACATTAAATCACCTCCTCAAATTTATCACTTCACACTTACGTAATACCTAGTATATGGTTAAAAGGTACTTTTAGGAAAAATTATATTTTATTCCCAAAAAAATTTAAATTTTTTTATTTTGTACCATAAAATATTACATATATCACATTACACCCATAATTTATTAAAATTGTTTCAATGTGACACTTTCGTTAACTTTTCTTGTTTATTCTATTAAAAATTACCCATTGATGTTGACAAAAGCTAACGGAAGACAATAATACAATATTTTTAATACATTGAAGATTCAATATAAAAAATTTAATCTTTAAAAATTAAAATAAAAATTCTTAAATTGTTTTGAATGCAAAATGCAATTTTCATCCTTCAAAATAACATAGAGTAAGATCTTCTCATAGTTTTATCAACAAAAAAAAAAATCTATAGTATATTTTTCTCTTGTGGAGATTGCTTACTCTAAACACAAGTGAGACCACTATATATAAGTGAATTACTTATTAATAAATAGTGGGTAATCTAGAAAAAAATAAAAAGAGCATTAGAGGTGATTGAAATCCTTCCTAGTGTTTATTTTACCAAAACATGACATTTTTTATCTTTATCTTTTATGTATCGATACTTTTAGCATATTTTGTTATTAGTTATATCTTGTGCCTGAACGTACGATGAAATATAAAATTTGAACGTTTAAAAAATTGATTCCACTACATCAAATAATATTCTATTTATTTCTTTGTTTCTTTAATTACATTATTTAAAATTAATTTTTACTTATTATTTTCTTTAAAACAACGTTAAAATTTTATTAAAATACATAACTCAATAAAATTTTTTCAACATGTATACAGTATCGTATATGAATAATGTATAAAATAAAAATTATATTAAACTACAAATTAATCAAATATTAAATGATTGAACATGTGATATAATTGACTGATGTGATATTTTTGGGAAAAAAAATATGTATAGGATAAAAATTCAAGTTACTACTAATTTATTATATAGATATAAAGACAATTAACTCCCTGCTTTTAATATAAAATTTTGAAAATGAAATTTATTGGAAAATAAACTTACTTTTTTATAAATAATAAAGTATAGCAAAATGGAAAATAAGTTAAATAATAATATTTTGGTAAAATAATTCAAAGTTTAAGTTAGTGGTGACCATTGGTTCCTCCTTGTCCCACTATAGTAAAAGTTGGTGTCCCACCCACTAATGTTGGCGTGGACCGCGTGTTGGTTCGGTTCAACAGAAAATCTGGCTGATAACAACCGGTCACCACACGACAAATATAATCGGCTGAGCAGGTCATTCAACGCCGGCTTCAATACTCAAGCACCAGAGCTCGCGTTAATTCCTTCGCTGTGGTCTGTGTTGGCCACACGTCTCTCAGCTGCACCACTTCTTCTATTTTCCGGTGAACTCAATTACCCGGAGGCTACCTGCTCCGCCGGTAACACCTTCCCCCCTTCCCTTCTCCAAATTCTAGAGGAGATTATCTCTCATTCCTATTACAAATTCGTTTAGTTTTATGGTATAATTCCAATGTTTGGTCAAATGGGTATTTCATTGATTCGCTTGTTGATTCTTTTATGTGTTTGTTTTCAATTTTGAGGTCCAAATTGCCCATAATCGTTGTAATTAACTACTGGGTTTTGATTGTTTGTTGCAAATTTTCTGTGTGGGTGCTTCGAAAGTTTCGTATTTAGCCAGAGTTTTGGCCGGGTAATTGCCATAGACTGATCCATTTTTCCATAAGAATTTTTGTTCTCTTCTGTTTTAGTTTTACCCTTTTTTTTTTTTTTTAAAATATCTTGTAAATTTTTACTTGTATTGATGAATATATGTTGTGTGTGTATCATCATTTTCAATTGTTGTGGTCTGTCACACATGGAAATTGTTGACAAAAACAAAATTGTTAGCCTCACCTTCATTAGGGTTTGGAAGAAGCTTATGTGATTCTTGTTAAAGCAGTTTACTTGGAGGTGTTGGGAGTTTTTCTTAACAAAGTATTGGAATTAGGGCGTCATTTAGTCCGCCGAATGCTTTTTAAGCCAGCAAGCCCACCAAACCACAAAATTTTGCCTAATTATTGGGTTGTCATAATAAGCGAAGAACTAGTTGAACGGAATATAGGGCTGACTGCCACTGGTATTGAAGGTCCTTTTTCCAGCAAAGGCATGAACAATTATTTTTTTTCAAGTCTAAACTCAAAATAAGGCCCCCCAAAAAAGGATTTATTTGATTAATAAAATGAACTTGGAAGTGTTTTTTGGGGCAGGAAAAATTAAAATGGACTCACGGCAATTCTGAGACGACCTCCTTTCTTTTGCTTTTGTTTTCCTTGACAATCTCCAAATTGCTTATTATCCAGACTTTGCCAGTCAAAGTCACAAACCACACATAATACTATACAATGGAATAGGAAAGTGTGACCAAGTTATTTGGGGCATTAGAGTCTTAAAGATTTCTTAAGATCGAGCTTCTATATCGTGTATGAGCTCCTGCTTGGTGTTTATATGCGTTAGCTTTAGGGGCCGGATTGCGTAAATAGTTACTTGATGTTGTATGTTTGCTTCCAGGTTGCAATTGTCTAGAATTGTCTTATTATATTATTGCTCACCTCGTTATCTGTAGTTGTATTCCATTCTAACATGTTTCATACTCCAACAGTTTGCAGGCTCTCCATGCATTCTGTCTCATCTTCAACATGTCCATCCTTTGAAAATGTGAACTATTAATTTGAGACATGTGGGCGGACACTTGCCAAGACCTGGCCAACAAATCTTAGATGTGGAAATATAAATTTCTTTTAGCATGAAAAAGGGCTATATTGTTAAGCAACACATATCAAAAGTTTTGTTTGGAAAAACGTAGATATCTATTGGAGTTGGCAAGGAGAGGCAAAGCAGACATCCTACCCAATGTGCTATACTATAGACATACATGCACATATAACAGCAGCAGTGATATGTCATCTTTTGATTTAGACAAAAAAAAAATTGTGCAGACTATGAACTATAGGTCCCTTTTTAGAAAGCATGCAGATGAGCTCTAAAAGACAAGAGGTTAGAAGTGAAATGACCAGATATCTAGCTTTACTTTCCCCAGAAAGTCTAAAACTAAGGTGTACTCTTCCAGAAAGCATGGGAATGCGTCTATAATATGGATCATTAGCTTATCCATCAAGTATATCACCTTTGATAGAGTACAATGGAGAAATAAGATTCATGGACTTCCAATAGTCGGGATAAAGGTCAAGTAAAGTTGAGTTGAGCTTATCCCGCAGATGTATCATTTCACCAATGTGTTCTATTAATCATTTTATAATATTGCAGTTGAGAGCGGAATAAGATATTATCATTAGCTCATAGAGATGTAACGCTTAATTTATTATTAGTAGTTGTTATTGTAAATGTTATTATCTTGCAAAGTAGCTTAGCACACCGAGTCGTTCTCTTTGTATTTAATGAATCTTTCCGTTTATGGCAACACTGGACCCTGCAAATATCAGTTATGTTTTGCCTTTCCTTCCTTTCTTTTCTTCTTTAGGCTTTATGTGACACAATTTCGAGGTTTGATTCTGTGCTTAACCTTGTGATGATTGTCTTATATATTTTGGACACAATTTGTGTGTACAATATCTACACCGTATTTATATCGTGGATTATTTCAGATGTTATAACACATTTCAGGTAAGGAAAATTATGTTAAATTTTATATCTACTCTGCAGACAAATTGCTTAGAGAAAACAATGGACTTTTTCTTCAAGGGGTTGAATGAAGAGGCATCTGATTGTTCCTTCAATGAGCAGGACATTAAGAAATGTCCATTCTTGAGGAACATCAACAAACCGACCGACTTCTCTTTCTCTTCTGTGAATTTCTCTCTTCCTGTAAGTTGTTATTCTTTGTTTTGATGCTGAGTTGTCTTTCTCCCCACATAATATAAATGTGTTTCTGAGTTGTGTTAAATCGTTGATATTGCTAGAATCCAGGGTATAATTGCTTAGTTCGTCTTGTGCTCTAGTTCCCATGTGCTGATATTTCTTGATACTGTTATTATTTCAAATGTTTCACTTTCCTTTAACCATAGCAGGTAAGGGGAGGCAAAGGTCCTATATTTGAGGATGGCCCCAATTTTGATATAGCTTTCAAACTTTTCCATGGGAAAGATGGGGTTGTCCCACTCTCAGGAAGGTCTCACTTTCATGATAACAACCCAGAACCTGAGCCTGCACCTCTCTTTAACCCTTTAGCTGCAAAAGCAGCCACCATCAGTTTTTCGGCATTTGGATCAGGAGGGCCATTCAGTTTTCATTCTTTCTCTGAGAAATGGAAGATGCAGAAAAAGAAAGAATCATCCTCTCAGGTATATATATGTACTAGGACAAATGTATAATTGTTGAATCCACCACTATGGTGTCATCTACGTGTGGTTTTTTTCCATAAAAAATTGAAAAATTGAAACAAAAAGTTATTTTTGCTAGTTAGCTGATTACTCACAACTTTCAATCTTTTTTTGTCATCTCTTAGGGAGATTCGTCAAAACATGAGGCACTGGGAAATGAGTGGTTGGAAACGGGGAACTGCCCAATTGCCAAGTCATACAGAGCCGTGAGCCATGTTTTGCCCCTCATGGCAACTGCTCTTCAGCCACCAGCTGGAATGAAGTTTAGATGCCCACCTGCGGTGGTTGCAGCCAGAGCTGCCCTTGCCAGGACTGCCTTTGTTAAGACTCTGCGCCCTCAGTCATTACCCGCAAAGATGCTTGCGATTGGAGTCTTGGGCATGGCAGCTAACGTCCCACTGGGCATCTGGAGGGAACACACTAGGAAATTCTCAATATCATGGTTTGCTGCAGTGCATGCAGCAGTGCCCTTCATAGCCATGCTTAGGAAGTCTGTCTTGATGCCCAAGACTGCTATGGCATTAACCATTGCAGCTTCTGTCTTAGGGCAGGTCATTGGCTCAAGAGCTGAGCGGCTTCGACTGAAAACAAAGGCTGAGCGGGAAAACATAGCAGCACACACGGCTCCTGCTGGTGTCATTTCAGGTTATAATTCCGGCCAGGTCAATAGCGTTCTGGGGCGTCATTGTGGTGTGCAAGGAATGATGTGGGATCCTCTCCCTGATAAGGCTGCTAGGATCACATCTCCACCAGCCAATATGTGTTTCTGAAATTGCATAGCAATGTGAGAGAATGTCTATGAATAAAAGAATGCAAACTATAATGTATGCAAGAGACAAATATGGGGTTCCGGCTCCAGTGATATTATGAACTGTTTGTTTGTCGTGCAGTTTATGGGATGAGAAAATTGTAACTCTTGCGAAATATTCTCGGGCAAATTGCAGTTCCTTTGTATCGTAGTCGTACCATGTTCTGGGATTTTTTGGTCCAGTACTTGAAAAGACATTTTCTCCTTTGGGGCTAGAAAATTTAAGTCCGGTAAGCTTTGCATATCTACTAAATCAAGAATAAACCTGGTCTCCTAAATGGCTTAATCAATATAAGGGCTCTGCTATTCTAAATAAGAACAGGCAGAGTCTCACCGATCACACAACTACTATACCACTCACTCTCCAGGGGGTGGATTGGTTGAGTGACTAAATTAAATAAAGTAGCAAAAGAAGCAAATTTTACAAAAGGTTCAGAAATAGTACGGCCGGTTCACCAAGTTCTATCGGTGCATGGCTCAATCATTTTTAAAATAAGAGTTTGATATTGTGACTTAGAAGGAACACTAACTGGATGTTTAACACATGCAAATTTGAGAGTTGTTTTCGAGGAGATGTGCTGGAGGAAACGAGACTCCTAGCGAGCACCTTATTTCCACTAATCAATCATCTTATTGCTCTTATATATTTAAAAACTTAATCAATTCGGGTTGAAGATTTTTGATCCAAGTTTCAGCTAAGTTTTAAAAGACTCAATTCAAACACTGATTTTTTTTGAATTAGATTGAGATTAGCACGTCCAAATTACACGCCCTACTCTCTACCTCCTTGTCTCCTCATTACACAACATCCATCACTCATCACAATTACTTCAAGCCTCCACATTTCTTTTTCTTTTCTTCTTCTTCCTCTTCCTCTCTCTCTTTTACTCAACCAAATCAATATCCATACTCCCTCCTCTATTTATTTCTCCCCCTTACATTCTCTCTCATCCCTTATTGACTGAGGTATTACAAATTCTTTAACTAATGCATTCACACTAGCTTGGTCAATAACACCACATAATGTCATTGCCGACATATCTATCTTTGAAGCCATATATCAATGGTCCTTGGCTAATCATATTGTCACGTGATTCATGTTTGATTGGACAAGGGATGTGCCTGGCAAGCCTGCCAGGCTGGGGATGTCCCCACAGGCCATAGCAACCACAATCTCTAGAGAATAATGAGATAGACTCATGTGTGATCTGGTTCACCTGCCCCAGGACAAAAGCCACATCATTTAGGATAGTGCCATTGCAAATTTGTGATTTTAGAACGGTCGACCAATTGAATATTGATTTATAACATATTTTCCATGTACGTATAAATTTTCTTGTAGATAATTTGAAACTGTGTAGATCAAATTTATTTGTGTCATACTTCACTAAATAAAGTTGAATGTATCAATATTGGATCTTATTGTGATTCAATTCGGATAAAATATATGAAAATGTTTAAATATACTAATTATTATCTGTGTCTGAAGATACAGAGTAATAAAAAAAATAGTCAACAACAAATATATTTGTATTCATATTTAAAATCAAATCACAAAATATATAAAAATAAATAAATAAATTTAAACATTAGTTGTAATAAGAGTGAATAGTGATGGTGGTGGTAGTGGTGGGACAATAAGGGATAATGGTAGAATGGTGATGAGTAAAAGGTGGTGGTGGGGTAGGAGTGGTGGAGATGGTGGTGGTGATGGTAGGGGCAGTGGTAGGGGGTGGCGGCGACGGTGATAGTGGTGGGGTGGTGGCGGCAACGGTGTTGGTGGTGGTAGTGTGATGGGGGGCGATAGGTGTGGAAGGAGGTGAGGCAGTGGGTGGGGTGGTGGCGACGGCGGCAACAATGGTGGTTGTTGTGGCAGAGGCAATGACAACGGTGATGGTGGTGGTAATGGTAGTGATTACGTTGGTGGGGGTGGTGGGGTGGTAGTGGGGGTGGGAAGGTTCCAAATATTATTTTTATTTTTTATTTTTAAAATATTCATAAGTAGTTATAAGTTTTAGAAGTACTTTTAAAAAGTTACTTTAAACACATCTTTAGTAGTCTATTTTCCTTATTAAATTTTGAGAGTTAATATTAGCCGTCAGATTAAGTTTAAAGTAAAATTTAAAGAGATTTCAATCGCGAAAAACAAAAATCATTTTGTTTATTGTTTGAGATTTGAATTGTATTATATTTTATTATATAGATTTGACAATTTATTCAATGAAATTAAGTTAAGATTAATTTAGTGGTAATTTGATGAAATCTAACTCTCTAGCTATTTGGGTTGGACTAGGTTTTTGTATCAAATTCTCTATTTTAATGAGGTCAGATATAGACTATGAACATTAAATTCGCCACATACACAAATTGGATTCGGATAACAAGTATCTAAACTGAGTTTCAATTTGGTTCAATCACAATTCAATCCGTTTTGGCTAGATATAAACTATGACAGTCCTTGTTAATCTTGATTTAATCTTATCATAGTAATCATCATATAAATGATAGGAACTAAATACTTAAGACTGTCTAGTTTACACAAAAAAATCAAAATACTTTTCTTGGTAATAGAATCGAAGTGCTTGTCACTCTTATCCTTTTTGGGTTGTAGCAATGGAAAACTTTGTGGGAAATGACTGGTAAACAAGGCATATAATCATGGCCAAAGGAAACCCAAGTCATGCCTAGTGCTTATAATACAATTTAGAGAAATGTAAGTGGTAGCTAGATGATTTTATGTTCATATTTTGAATACATTAATTTTTTAATTTACTCTTAACAAACGTATATTTTACAGGGATGACCACTTGTCATGATTCATGTTTGGGGCAAAAAAAAATATTTCAATATAATGAAGTGGTTACAAATGTTGTACATTCATGGCATTTTAATTTAGGATAACAACAAACCAAGTTTGGTAAGAAAGCTTGATTTTACTTGCACAACACATCCCTTCATGGTCTTTGTTTCATATGGACAGAGTGTGGTCCTGCCCTCCATTGTTTATTTCATGTTCACCTTTCATGGTTTCCTCAAAATTGGAATATGCCTTTTTGCCTTGTATATATCCTCCTTGTATCTCAACCTTTCTTCTTTAAACTCCACCATGGGGAATTGTCTTCAATCTTCTCCTAACAAAAGGGAAGCTTTGCCCATTGACACCATTTTCAAGCTTCCCTCGTCAATACCCACTTGGTCATCAGGTTTTCTCATCTTCATTATTGTTTTGTGGCATGTTTGGTTTTTGTTACGATGTTACATCAATTGAGTGTAAGTTTAGGTGTGTGTATATAAGTTCACTCCATTTGATAGTTGATTTTTACGGGTGAATTTTGTATATCATGGGTTCTTATCGATTTTTTTTGTTGTAAAGGGTCATTGTTTGAACTGTACAGGCTTGTGATTGTCAAGTTTTATCATCATCATTATCGTTTGTGTGCGTGTTTTTATTTTTTATTGTAAAGACCGATGTATTCGATAAGTTTTGTGAACTCGTGATTATGACACTTAACCTTAAATGTAGTGTAATAATCACCTGTAAACAACACTCATCGATCTGCTAATTGTTAAATTTTTGGCCCCCAACAGGTGATGGGTTTGCAAGTGGAACCATTGATTTAGGAGGACTTCAAGTGTGTCAAATAACATCATTCACCGAAGTCTGGACTGCCTATGAAGGTGGACCAGATGACCTTGGGGCAACATTCTTTGAGCCTTCTTCTATACCAGATGGGTTTTTCATGCTTGGTTGCTACAGCCAACCAAACAACGTGCAACTTTCCGGCTGGCTTCTCGCCGGAAAAGATGTCTCCGGCGAAACTCTGGCGAGGCCAACCGATTACACACTTTTGTGGAGCAGTGAGTCTCTGAAAATTTACCGAGCCGGCTTTGGTTATATTTGGCTACCAACACCACCGGACGGTTATAAAGCCGTCGGCCTTGTCGTCACAACCTCGCAGGAGAAACCCTCCGTCGATAAAATCCGATGTGTTCGCTCTGATCTCACCGATGAATGTGAGACCAGCTCATGGATTTGGGGCCAACGCACAGAGAGTAACAACAATGGCTTGAATGTATACACATTAAGGCCCACCATTAGAGGAACTCAAGCTCAAGGTGTATCTGTTGGTACATTTACAGTCCAAAACAGTGATGATTCTTCTACAATTTCTCTCTCTTGCTTGAAGAACAACAACTTCAACTTATCTTCCATGCCTAATCTCAGTCAAATTCAGTCTCTAGTTCAAGCTTATTCTCCATGGATTTACTTTCATCCTAAAGAAACTTACCTACCCTCTTCTGTGAACTGGTATTTTAACAATGGTGCACTGCTATACCAAAAGGGTGATGAATCAAACCCTATTTCGATTCAACAGGACGGCTCAAATCTCCCCCAAGGTGGTTCCAACGATGGGGCTTATTGGCTGGACCTTCCTGTCGATGAAACTGAAAAAGAGAGAGTCAAGAAAGGAGATTTACAGAGCTCTCAGGCTTATTTGCATGTAAAGCCTATGCTTGGTGCGACATTCACCGACCTAGTTCTGTGGATTTTCTACCCATTTAATGGACCATCCACTGCAAAACTTGGATTAATCGACATTCCGTTAAGCCCGATCGGAGAACACATCGGAGATTGGGAACATTTGACATTAAGGGTAAGTAATTTCAATGGTGTTTTGAGCAGTGTTTACTTTTCAGAACACAGTGGAGGGACATGGGTTGAAACTCCATTGCTTGAGTTTCAAAATGGTAATAAACCAGTAGCCTATTCAGCTTTGAATGGCCATTCAAATTATGCAAAACCAGGCCTTGTACTACAAGGAAGTGCTGAGATTGGGATAAGGAATGCCACTGAAAAGAGTGATAAGGCTATGGACAGTGGGGAGAGGTGTTTGGTGGTCTCAGCTGAGTTTGTTTCATCCATTGTTGAGCCACCATGGCTGAACTATGCTAGAAAGTGGGGTCCAAACATTACTTATAAGCTTGGGGTTGAGGTTGAGAAGGTGGAAAATTTATTGAGTGGGGACTTGAAATCTTTGTTTGAGAGTGTGTTGAATGTTCTTCCTGATGAAGTTTATGGGGAAGAAGGTCCTACTGGGCCCAAGGTGAAAAATAGTTGGAGTGGTGATGAAGCCTAGAAGAAGATGTGAGGCTCTATTCTTGTGGATAAGCACTCCACTTTTAAAGTCGAGGTCTCAGATTCGAAACTCTTCCTACCCCTGTATCAATACTGTTCGAACATTAGATGAAACCATGAAGGAGTGTTAATGCGTACAGTAGAACTGTTGGAGGCATGGGCTTGGAAGCATTCATCAGTCACGCATACATTTTAGAGTCCTATATTTTCATTTGTTTGTTAGTTAGGCTATGTAAATTATTTTACTCAAGTAGTTCAGATTGAAATCTCATTCATTCATCATTTACTTTATATATTGTGTATTTAGAAACTATGACTTGAGAATATGTATGACAATATGAGAATAGACAACGATTTTTGCATTACGCATGCACTTTATGCTCCATTATCATCGTCAGTGATACTCCTTTTAATCTAGTTTCTTGCAGTGTGAGAACGTTGGGTAGGAACACCGTTAAGTGGGTGGTCTAATTAGATACTGAAGGGGTAAAATCTCATGATTACACGTGACATAGTATTAAATATGTTCACGTGATGTTGATAAGATCAGACACGTGATGAAAGATCCTTTTTCTAGAGTTTTTTAACCAAGCCGAGCTAATTAGAGAATCGACGATAACTGAAAAAGATCGATTCTCTTTATGACCGAACTCATCAATCTGTTCGATTAAGCAATGAAAGAGTTCGGCTTGTGCCAAGTCGAGTTGGTTAAAGTATTCAGCAAGGTAATTAAAGAGATCGATTTGTGCCAAACCAAGTCCCTTAATCTGCTCGGCAAATATCAAATGTGCTCGGCGTCTGATATGTCTAAGCCGTTTTAGATAAACAGAAAGATAAAGATACACCTATAACTTAGGTGATCAGATAAGCAAATCAGAGAAATTTGAGATATTAAGAGAAAATAATGGAGAAATATCAGCAACTTTTCAAATTGAATGACTGAATTGTAGGAAGGTGTGCCACCTTGAACCTAAATTCATGGAAACCCTAAGGGGTGAACGATCTATAAAAAACAGAAGAGACTAAGGTGAAAGGTATGCTGAACCTTCCTTGTCTTCTTCCATTCGTTTCATAATCTTACTGACTTAAGCATCGGAGTGCCTTCAATCGAAACACTTCAATCTTGGGCAGTGTATTGGTTTTGCAGGAAGAGGAAGATTGGGAGATCAAGTTCAAAATCCCATAACCATTTTAATTCCAGTATGAGGTAATCTCAATTTTTTGCCTTTTACATTTGGCATCGTTTGTGGGAAAGATCATCATCTTTCAGAACAAAAAGCTACGATGTCAAGGCTCAGAAACGCAACTGGATCAACCATAGGCAGTTTTGCCCTGAAAAACTCTGATCCTGTGTCTCTTCCTTTTGACAGCGACGCAAGGTTACATGCAGTCAGAAGCCCCTCCAGGACACATAAAGGTGACGAGGTATCCTCTGCAAGTTTCAAGCCCTCGAAAAATCAGAACCAGCGAAGCGAGGATCATGGTAAATCCCTCCGTGCCGAGGGGGAGAACCACTCCTTGGCGAAGTTGGTTTAGTCCCTTCAGGATCGACTAGATGCTCATGACAAGCTGTTCAAGAAGTCCTACACTAGGGAGAAAGATCTGATCAAAGAAAATGAAGAGCTAAAAACCAAGTTGAAAGAGGTGACTAGAAGAGAAAAGCGGCGAAAGAAGATCGGCATGAAGGTCCGGGAAAGAAGCCTAGCAAGTTTAAATTTGCCAATAAGAAAGATTACCATCAACAGAAGTCTCGAATCCAGGAGGAGGACACGTGGAAACTGTATATCAACGAAGAGCTCAACATTCGCTTGAAAAGACCAGAGCAGAGGTGTGACACCCCAAAATCCATGTGTTAGTAATTACCCAATTGATCACCTATCAACCTGCAGAATATCCGTGGATACCATGTAATTTGATACCACGCCGTTATGCCCCATTTACCGAGATCCATAACTTAACAAAATTTCGGCAGAGTCTCCTTTGTACGAGAAGTTCTACCTAAAACGCAACTTGTACAATATTGACCACACCGGGTCTATCTATCCATTCACAATTGTATAGTATCGAATACTACCATAATCATCATCATTACGTACATTCATTCATAAAAGAATAAATATCTCAAAAGAGTCATTTATACATGTCTTTTAAATATAAACAAGGTTTTGTTACAAAAATTACATAAGGCCAAAAATAATTATAAACAAGGGACTACGATGTCCAAAGAAGAGCCACAGACCGACTCTGTCGTCAAAGCGGGCCCATGGCCTCGCCTTCGGTAGATGCTTGTACAATACCTGAAAAATATTTTCATAAAGAGTAAGCCAACGCTCAATAGGGTAACTCCTATAGAGAATACCTCTCAACTTAAATGCATATGAAATATCACATACAACAATCATTTCATGCAATTATTCAAATATGTCTATTATGAACAAATACCATAAATCGTGTCATGCCATGAGATGAGATTCACGAAAACAATACCAACACCGAGCCCCATCCTGAGCTCCTACAACACATGCAATGTAATGCGTATGTATCCGAATATTTCAAGCCCCGTCATTAGTGTTATGTACACTCAATGACTAATTAATTTATTTTCTTGCTTCTTTGTGGGGAGATGATTTATGGTATTACACCAATGAGACACCAACCATCAACGGATTCTCAGGACATCCCACCTGCGACTTCGTTTTGGCGGTTACACTTTTCTGGAATTTTACCGCTGAAAAGTGTATAAACCAAGTAAGTGGGTCTTGCACCCAAGGAAGAATCTAACCCTTCTTACTATTTTTGGCACGTTTATACATTTAATTTTCCGTGTGACTCAGCGGGACCTTGATGCAACTTTTCTGAGTCCACAATCAACCTCCTATGTGGTGATTGATTTCATCCCATACACAAACTCTCACCCATGTCAATGCCCATGAATGTAATGTAACCCATGCATAATGACATTTCAATGTGTAATTGCCTTTAGTACCATTTACAATGTCCATTACATAAAGAATACCATATAATGACATTTTTAACATGACAACATGTTTATTAATTATATAAACATAAACACAAGTTTACCACAATAATTATATGCTAAATAATTATTTAACATATATATTATTTCATAATCACATAACAAGCTAATAATTTTATTAAACTTAATATGTCATTTAACACATAAAATAATGCTAATATACAATTAACATGCTTTAAACCACTAACATTAACTTACACCAAGTTAATCATAATATGATTTTTCTAATTACAAAGTTAATTATAATTCATATATTTGACTCACTAGTTACACTAGTCAAGACTTAACATGTGATATACATCCATAGCCTACCCATTTCATATGTCGTATGTTAGGAAAAACCCTATCTGTCGTAGTATGAGCCCACGTACTGGAACTCCGAGGAAGCTCAATTTAACTTTCCAAACTTTAGGTCTAGATTATCGTCTTTGATATTCTTTTGGAAAAAAAAAAAAGAAGATATTTGGTGTGGTTGCGTAGCTCTCGTTGAGTAGAGCAACTTTAATTCTTGGCCCAAAATGATTAAACGGTCCAATCTTCGTAAATCTGAAGAAGAAGAAAGAAAAAAATAATAAAACAATACTCACCTTTCTCTCTCTTACTCTCTCGGCAGCACACTGGAAGAAGAAAAGTGGAAGACTTTTGTCTTCCACTTATATATATAGTATAACTTTATTTTTTTAGAAATTTATATTTTTGACCCATAATTTAACCATTAATTATTATTTTACCCCTTAAATTAAGATTTTTAATAATAATAATACTATTTTTTTTTATCGAATTTTACAAGAGGTTGGCAAGGGACCTAGCCAGAAGAGCAACAAGAGAGTACGGGAACAGTTTGGAGTCATCCCCATTCACTACCTGGGTTGAAAAAGCACGAATCCCGAGCAAGTTTGTCGTCTCGAACTTCAAGTTATACGACGAAAAGACCGACCCAGCCTCATATACCAAGCATTTTCGACAACTGATGACCATCCACCGAAGAAACGAGCCACTGCTCTGCACTATCTTCTTTAGCAATCTGGGGGAGTCTGTCATAAAGTGGTTCGACAGCTTACCAAAAGGAACGATTAATGGGTGGTCTCAATTAGCCGAGTAGTTCACAGCTCGATTCATCACAAGCAGTAAACAACCAAAGGATGTTGGGGCTCTACTGATGCTGAAAAAGAAGAGTAATGAAAGCTTGCGAGAGTATCCGTATCGCTATTGCAAAACCATGAATGAAATCGAATGGTGCAATTCAGAGATTGCAGTTGCATCCTTCAAGATCGACTTGTCGAAAAAAAACCCTCTATAACAATCGCTCACAAGGAGACCTGCTATTGACCTGGAAGAATTAATGGCCAGGTTTGAAAAGTATGTCAAAATGGATGACGACTTATTCAGAGAAGTGTTTAAGGAACATTCGAGCAAAAGACAATTTGGAAGGGAAAAACAAGTTGAGCCGAACAGAGAGGGAGGAAGAAAGTTTGAGAATGAGGGATATCCCCAAAGATCCCCTTTTTTGGGAGTAAATACATTGTTCAAAAAACCAATATACAAGGTTCTAAGTCAGATCAAAGGTAAGTCGTTCTTTAATTTGCTGAACAAGCTAATAAGTGATACATCTAAAAGGAATCTAAATTTTAAGTGTTCGTATCACAGGGATATAGACTATATGACTGAGAATTGTCGATCTCTCAAGCAGCACTTGGAGGAGTTAGTCCAGGATGGACATCTCACAGAATTCATTGAAAGTGAGTAAAAAGCCAAAGGGGGGAGAACCGAGCCAAAAGGGGACTCCAACACTCCAGCTAGGGTAATTGATGTGATCCATGCCGCCACCAACCCTCAGATGTCCACGAATAACTCTGCTCGGGCTTATATTTAGAAAGCAACTAAAGAGAAAGAAGTGTACGAGTTAAGAATGACCCCAGAGGTTGCCAACAAACGAATCAAGATAGAGGATACAACCGAAGCGATCTGTTTCACCGAACAGGATTTGATCAGCGTTCTCCAACCGCACAATGACGCCTTGGTCGTCACACTTTGGATTGTGAATTTTGATGTGAGAAGGATCCTGATTGATCCGGGAAGTTCGTCAGAAATCATGTATATGGATCTGTTTGAGAAGCTTGGCCTCAAGAAAGAGGATCTCAAGCCCTCGAATACTCCACTTATCGGCTTCAGTGGAAAAACGGTTCTGCCCAAAGGGAAGGTCACGTTGCCTGTAAAGACATGACCAGTTTGCGTTATGACCGAATTCCTAGTAGTGGACACAGTTTTGGTATACAACGCAATTATGAGACGTACTTTGCTGCATGAAATGAAGG